TATCTACAACTATAACATTGCTGAACTGTATCTCAGCTGCATCACCACAGGAGAGCACATGAAGAAGCAGACATACTTTATGGAGATAGTCAAGGCACAGATACTTTTGAGAAAGTAGGGCTGGCAAACTGATATCTGATTTGAATGTGGGAAACCACAAGAGAAATACTCTTTGTGTACAGCTCAAAAGGACATAGGAATTGATGGATTAATTTTCCAGCTCTGCCTCACACTTGAACTTCACAAAACTTCAGCTTTATCTTCTCTCCCCAAGAACTGCCCAATAAGGCTAGAAGGAATTTAACACCCAGTAACTGAAATTAATCATCATTACACTGTCAGGAGTGGAACCCAAAAGAGATGTTATTAAAAATGTTAGAAATATTTAAACAAGGGTCAAAAAGCCAGTTCTTGAGTCTGCTGGATGTCAACATGTTGCTTCAGAGTCCAAAGCAGTGTTGCAAATATCCAACCCTGAGCTTAGTGATGCCACTTTTAATAAGTTAAACATTACATTTCTATTCATAAAGCCTTCCTTCTTCCAGAATGGACATTGATTAATTAGTTCTCAATAAATAAAAGATCATCAGCTTTTACTCTATAATAAGTCTTTCAATTGTAATGTGTTTGTATTCTCCTGCCCTACCAACTGCATCTCCTCCAGCTGCTAAGAACTATTAGTAATGTTTCCAGAATGAAAACATGGAACTGTTCCTGTTTCTTCCCAAATGTCAGAACTGACAAAAATGAAACAGACAATGACACTAACAACAATTTTTATGTGATCACATTGTCCTTGCTGAAAATAAGCGTGTAAATAACAGTGCAATGTGTAACTCAACCCTACTTCTACTTGAGTTAACCTAATTTTTTCCTTCAACTGAAGTGGGAGTAGATTCTTCATATGCCAGTACACAATGCCTAATCAGAGATCTCTCTACACTTCTCGTTATTCTCATTCATCATATCAGTATACCATGACAAAATAATAGCATTTTGATAGTACTTGTGGTGGCTTTAAGGCTGCTCATTACCCTCCAATGGCTTTTCTAATTGTGGCTCAGTTTACAGCAGACGGAGACATCACCTAAAAAATTCATGGTGGGTTTTTGTGTCTGCACATGTGTGTACATGCCTGTGTGCTTGCATGCAGGTGCTTATGCATGCAAATAATGCAACTGAGATTCAGCAACACAGTGCTACACAAACACCAACAAAAAAAAATATTCATTAGTAAGATAATAGTGACAAGAGGAAAATATTTGTTTATGTTCAAACCCAGAAAAAAGTCCTTGTAACCTGCACTTTTAAATCCCTTTTGTGCTCAGCCCATGTTGCCACAACTGCCTCTTGGCAAGCTTGGGGGAAGATACGGAAATCTGCTCCTGTCTACTTCTGCAGAGGCTGAGAAACAGCAAGCATTCTGCAAGGTGCTGAAGTGTTAGTAAAGATGTATCTAAGGAAACATGTAACATGTTGTAAAAAAGTTACTTCATGTAAAAACACTTGCACCGGGTCAGCAGTTACCTTTATTTTGCAATGAACTTAAAACCTTTGTTGCATTATGCAAACACTACTGCAGAACACTTAAGGCAGAAGAAAACAGGAAAAAAAAAAAAGGAGGTCTATAAAGCTGTGGTGGGGATATACCCAGGGTAGGAAAGCATCATAGCTTTCAGAAGAAAGCTACTGAAATATTCACAAGTCAATAGAGAACACTGAAACATCCAGCACTGCTGTGCCCAAGGCTATCAGCACTACTGTCACAAAGAAACACACCTCAGAGCCAGTATGTACCTGTGATCTTCCCTTTTTTTTTTGCTACTGTGTTTTAATAAACCGTTTTCAGTACTTATTCTGAATCTTAACTCCACATAGCTCCTTCTGGGGGGGATTTTTTAAACCTCATCCCCTTAATGAGCTAAATTTTTATCACCAAAGCAGGAGACTTGCTCGTGATCTATGCTTTGTGAGGTATAAAAGCACAACCCAGGAGAAATTAAATTCAGCTTCAGAACTACATGAACTTGGACATTACTGAAATTAAAGTGGTAATTTCAGATTCTGAACAATGTAAAAATATGCATGGCTTAATGACTTCTATGAAGGGAAGACTTTTATATGGCTACATTAGGAATCTTTGCATGCTGTTTATAGTCCACTCCAGTAAAAACTGAAAACACACACGTCACTCCTATTTACAATTTCTGCAGCAATTGGTGAGTTTCTAACATACCCAACAGCACTTCACAGAATAAGTATTTACTGCACAGTATTACATAAATCTTCACGTCTCCTTGTCCACCAAAGATTCATCAATACTATGCCTTCAGTTGTTGCTGCTCCTTCTTTAACTGCAAAGGAACAGAGAGAACAGGACTAAGCAAAAGTTAGGCTTATTGCTTCCAGGAACAAAGAGGTTGGAAACTAGGCAGCATAAACAACTGCAGCTTTCAACTCACACAAAGTTTTCACAATTCGAACCCAAACCTCCCTTTTGATGCCATCAGTTGGAGAATTCCCTGGGAGTGCAATTTCCACCCATCTGCTTGTGTCACCTGCCCAGTTTGGATGGGATGCTCCAAAACCTCACACATACTAAATAATATTAATGTGCTTTGAAAAGTAATCACATACCTCTCCCTTCTCCAGACAATCAAGTTAGGCTCATGCTTGCTTTATTTCTATCATACTGATTTGCCATTTCCCTCTCTCTCTGCTGCTTCACCTTAAACTAACCATATTACTTGTGTGTATCCTAGAAGCTGGATAACAGTTTGCAGTTACTGTACCGCCCAAATATGGTGGGGCTTAATTGTCAACATTTGCAAAGTGCAGAGATAAAGTTCAGACGAAAAGGTTCACAACCACTGAGTACATATGGATGGAGAGAAGAGATAACACATTAACTATGTTTGCTGAAATGGTGCAATATAATTCAATTCTACAACCACACACAAGTCAAATGAAAAGCTACAGCTATGCACACGTGCATTCACTCACATTCTCCTTCAGCCCAGATGCCATCAGCTATTTGTGGAATACAAAGACGTGATCCTGAAAATCCCGCTGTGTACCTAGTCTTACAGCTTGATTTCACCTCCACAGTATGCACAAACATGGGCAGCGCATCTTGTAAATCTTAAAATACACACAGTGGGAGAAAGACTAAGATCCTGTATGTTTTTCCATTCTATTGCAATAAAAGCAGCATACAGAATGCAGGATAAACAAAAACATCTGTACAGGCACATAAGGAAAATACCAGACAACTTTACACCCACTACATTCTTTATTTTTTTTCTTTTTGCTACTGTACCACCAGTTGATCCAGATGTTGCATCACCAGACGGCACAAGCACAGCCCACGTCCTGAAGCACTGTACTGCCATCTATGACACTTAAAAGTGGTAGGGTCCCCTCCAGAGCAAACCTGTAACATTATACAAAGAATAGCCCTAGAAGCTATTGCTTCTGCAAGGTGGTCACAGCTGGTGAATCACGATGACCGGAGACAGCTGAACAGCAGCAGGTAGCTCATGTTCACTGTGCAGCTCTCATGACCTCTCCACCTACCATACAGGAATTACAGACTCACATACCTGATGCCACTGCTGTGCTTAAAGCACAGGGCACCTGGCATCCTCCTACCCTGAACCACATAACCTACAAGACAGGCAGCTATTTCCTTGTAGTCAGGGCTCACTGGCTGGCAAACCTACATGACATACTCCTGCAGAATTACAGGATGACAAAATGACTAAATGAGGAAGATGGACATCTTTAATGGCACTTCAATACGAGAAGACAGATCTATAAGCAATACAACTGTGAGAAATAAGTTGAGAATCCAGCCCCAGGTGTTGCATTCTCCGTATCTAATTCTAAAGGACAAGAAGGGGAAGAAGGAGGGAAAAGGGGACAGAGAAGAAATTCAGAATGATAAAAAAGCTTTGGGATCAATTATCTGCTTACTTTCTTACTTGAGAACAATTCATTAAAACAATGTCTTTTTTATTAGAGAGGAGAGCTGAATCCCAGCTTTCCCCAAGCTGTACATTGTAACTTGAGAGCAAATGCAGTGGGACTATAAGCCTACTCTTACATAAACTTTCTTTGCTTGCTTATCCATTTTTCATGCATGTAATATCCTTTATGCAAAGCTTAGCTATGTTTTGTTTCAACAGTCTTATTCCCTTTGTTATCTGAAAAGCTCACACGAGATTTAGAAGACTTGACCTCAACATTAAAGCTATTTTAACTTTAAAGCAACTCTGCAGATCAATAAAGAACTCACTTAAATCAAGATCAAGGAGTGTCATCTGTTCTGAACTGTCACTTAACTCTGACTATGTGATATTCTTGGATCTCCTTTCCTCTCAAAAAACATAGCTGCAGTTGAACTCTGTTGCCCCACTCTGTGAGAGTACTGATCCTATAAAGGGACCTGGTTTTGACTTGGTATTTCCAGTCAAAAACACCCTCCAAAGAGCCACCCAGACAAAGCACTTGCACAAAACTAATGTTTATGACAAACTCATGGTGTTTCCACAAAAACACGAATCAAGAAGTTCTCCCGCTTTGTAAAGTCTGAGCCATGCAAATTCAGTATCTTAATCAATTTTGAGGAAAACAAGCAAACAAACAAAAAAACAACCAAAAAAGCAGATTAGCAACTTTACAATAATTTTATATTTGAGAACAAAATGGTTTCAACACCTGGAACAGCCCACTTTCCTTTAAATCAGAAGGATAGTCTCAGCAGGTCCTACAGCCCTGCAGTGCATCAAGTAAAGCACTTACTGCATGTATTCTCATCAGTACAGGGAATAAATCACCAGTAGAATTTAAAATAGAATTAAAAGCTACATCTTCTTTTGCCTGTGTAGCTTCAAAATGCCTGCAGTTCTTGTTTCATACACAAAGGAAATAATTTTAGATAACTTTATACTTACCTAAATTGTCGATTATATATAACCAGCACATAGAAGTATACTAGCTTTGTGTAAATCAAGATTTTATGGTTTATTGCATTTGTTTACAATTTTCTTGGGGGATTTTTTGGTGTAGCTTGACTTGAAACTGTCAGACATATCTACATAGGTTTTTTTCAAGATTCTTTTATCACACAGTGATCAGTTCTCTACATTCATTTTCTGTAGCTTGCTCAATTCCAGTTCTCCAGAGTTCATGAGTACTGACACTATTGAAAAAGTACAAGATCAAGCACACCTATACAAACAGACAAACTAGACAGAATATTGCAGGTAAGGCTACTTTTTTTTTTTTCCCCTTTTTTTTTATATGTATATACATTTGTCTAAACCAGGCACAGAGAACTTTGGAACACACAATACTGAAAGCCATCTATGATAATCTTTGAAGGTTAGGTATTTTCAAATTCCACAGTCAAGCATTCACCCCCATAGCTTTAGTAACAAATACACAGCTCTTATTTCCTCAGCACTTCAAGTGAATTGTACCTTAAACACAGTGGTTCTAAAAACCTGTACCATATTTACCAGAATAAGACTACAGATGAGCTAATTAAGTGTCACCACATTCTATTCAACTGTGCTTTACTTTACAATAGGGCTGACTGCTCAGAGGCCAGTCCCACAGCAGTGAAAAACATGCACAACTCAACTGAGAGCAGGCAATGGCAGGGCACTTGGATACAGTGTGGAGCATGACAGTAAAAAGTACTGGCCACAAGAGTCAGAGAACCAGTACTTGCATACGTAACTTAAGGAAAACTGCATTATCAAACTGTACTTTTACATGAAGTTCAAATACAAACTTTATCCAATATTCCCAATTTGCCAGAAAGCTGTGAAGAACCACTCCTGCCCCAAACTTTGAAGATGTATAATTCTGCACATTCAATTCCACATTAAATCACAAAATAAGCACTCACTTTTCAGCCACCTGTGAATTTAACAAAAACCCCTCACAATTTAAGATTAGCAAATACATTTCCAATCTACTGTTTCATGTAACTTTACTAATAATATGTCTTGTCAAGGAAATTCTCTCAAAACATACATACAATATATATGTGGGTAAAGGACACCGTGAGCACATTATTTCCATTCTCTCTAACAAATACCCAGTTATTATGTGCAGTGTTTTAATGCTGATGTTAAAGATCACATGATTCCTGTTCTTCCAGTCCCATTTTACTTATAACAAGAACTTCAGAGTGCACATACAACGTGGACTGTGAAAAGTACAAATCAGTGCTTATTCCACATAGGTGCTGCTATAGGTCCCTGAGGAGCCCTTTCAACAGTCACAAATTCATCAGGGTTGTCAAAAGCTTCATAGTGGATTAATAAATCTTGAATAGCACACTCCTCGATCTGGAAGGAAAAGAGAACATGTATATCAGTTTCAGATCTACATTTAAACCAGCAGCAGTTATGAACTGGCTTTACTAGTCTGGAATGCATGCCTGCTACAGACCTCCTAATCAGGAAAAAGTATACATAAGCCCTTCCTTCAGAACCTTGTTGAAATCTCATGTTTGCAAGCCCTGTCCTCTTGGGAAACCGGAGCCACTCTGATCCCTGCTAGGCTTGATTCAACGCAACCCAGCAACACAACAGGGCACAAGCACTCGAGGAGGTATGCATTGGTGAAAACTTCCTAACACAGATGACCAAATAGCTGATGAAGGGTGACACTCTGCTGGATCTCACACTTACAAAGAAGGACTGGTCAGGGATGAGAAGGTCAAGGGCAGCCTTGGCTGCAGTGACCACGAAATGGTGTAGCTCAGTATTCCAAGCAATGGGAACAAGACAAATAGCATAACACCCTGGGACTTCAGAACAGAAGACTATCATTTATCTGTTCAGGGATCTGCTTGTTAAAAACCCATAGGATATGGCCCTGGAAAGAAGTCCAATGAGGCAGTCTGAAAACTGGCTGAACTGGTGATCTCAAGAAGTTTCTGATCAGTGGCATAAAGTCCAACTAGAGGCCAGTCACCAGCACCAAAACTGAGAACAGTACTGTTCATCTTCATTAATTACCTGCATGACGGGACAGAGTACACCCTCAGCAAGGTGGCAGACAATACAGAATTGGAAAGAGTACCTGATATGCTGCTGGATGGTTGTGCTGCCACCCAGAGGGACCCAGACATACTGGAGAAATGGGCTACAAGGAGTCTCATGAAGTTCAGTAAAGGGAAATGCAAAGTCCAACACCTGTGAAGAATAACCCTAAGCACCAGTACACGCTGGGGGCCAACAGGCTGGAACGAAGCTTAACAGAAAAGGATCTGGGGTCCTGGTGCACAGGTTAGCAGCAATGTGCTTGTATGGCAAAGAAGAGTGACAGCCTTCTGTACTCTGTGAGGGACAGCATTGCCAGCAGATTGAGATAGGTGATCTTTCCCTCTGCTTAGCACTGGTGAGACATATGGAGTGCTGGGCCCACTTCTGGACTCCCCAGTACGAGACAGACATGGACATAACAGAGACAGTCCAATGAAGGGACACAAAAATGATTAAACGCTTGGAGTATCTGATATATGAGATGCTGAGCTCATTGCTGTTGTTTAGCATAGAGAAAAGAAAGCTTAGGGAGGTCTTATCAAAGTGTACAAATACCTGATGGGAGAGAATAAAAGGGACTGAACCACACTCTTCTCAGTGGTGCCCAGTGACAAGAGAAGAGGCAATGGGTACAGGCTGACATATAGCAAGTTGCATTTAAATATAAAAATCTTCTTTACTGTGAGAGTTGTTAGACACTGGAACACATTTCCCAGGGAGGCCAAGGAGTCTCCACCCTTGCAGATGTCAAAAGCTGCCTGGACACAGCTTTGAGTGATCTGCTCTAAGGAACCCTGATCTGAGTAGGGGAGGGATTTGGATTAGACAATTTCCACAGGTTCCTCTCAACCTCAACTATTCTCTGATGCTCTGAATGCATTAATCATGGACTCAGTAGTCTTTAATATAGATATACCTTATCAAATAGCAACTTGAGGTTATTATTAAATGATATTTAATATAATTTTGTCAATGATACTAAGTGTATCAATAATTAATCCCCCAAAATGATCTCTGAAACAGCCAGTGGAAACTCCTTGTGTTACTTCACAGATGTAGTAACTTAGCGCATTACCTGGATCAAAGCCAAAGGTTTTTCTCTGCTCCTAATAAGGGCAGCTTCTTGCTGGAGCTCTTCTTCTACGATAGCTGAAAACATGACAGGTGCTATCACAGGAGAGCTAGTTGGTGATGCTGCTGACCAAGGACTGAAAAAAACAAATGACATTGTGAGGCAACATCAAGAACAAGGTCAGTACAACACACAGAAAACAAGCTCCAGAATCTAAGATACTGTCAAACATACTTATGACTCTCCAGCTGTGGAGAATCCAGAACACGGTCTTCTAGGGCTGGGCTACTTACAGTGGTGCTCCTGGAAAAACATAGGAAAGGAGTTTTAAAGTCACTGACAGAGCATTTTCCTGCATCATCTGTGAAGGACAAATTTACTATGGGCAATTACAAACGGGTAGGGTTTTTCCAGAAGAAAGGCATTAGGATGTAATGCTGAATTTGTCTTAACTGTGATACAGTGACTAGAAGGGACAATGATGCTCATTTTTGACTACCAGAATGTAATGGTTTTTCAGCTTGGATATTAATTGTGGCATTTCATAACATTTGAGCATTTGAACAAAGGCGTTTTTAAAAAATAAACCCATAAAAAAAATCGTATAACTCTACTGAGTTATGCACTAACATCACTGACTATAGATGTCTGCAATATAAAGAAACCATAACAACTGTCCTGTTTCAAATTAAGTGTTTCATGCAAAAGAAACAGTGCTGCAATAGTAAATTATTTGTTCAAGTGTAAGCTCAGAAATGATGGATATCCAGTACACATCCTGCAACCACATCTCACATTCATACAAATAGCATAAAGCTAGGATTGAAAAAAAAATTAAAAAAACCCATGAAATATCAGAGTTCCCAACAGGAAGATACTTTATTCAGTTGCAAAATTTTAACCTCTCAATAAAAAGAAGTTGCACTTGGTATGTTGTATGCTTTAAGAGACAAGTATTTGTCAGAAAACCCCCTCCTCAGTAGGAAGACAGGGACCTGTTCTCATTATTTAATATCCACCTTTGGCAACGTCTGACTTCCAGGACTCTAAAGAAGTGTTACAACATACTATGAAATGCTAGCAGCCTTCTTTAAGTAATTCTATGGCACTGTAAAAAATTCGTGAGGGTGTTACCCCTCGTGAGGGTGTTTCAATATATGTCTCAATTTTCTTAATGGCTTTGGTAATCTTCTGTTAGTGGTCACAAACTCTTGGAAAGGAGGAAAAAATCTATAGAAAGCTAAGAGAATTCCAGTAACTGCTAAGCTCTCTGCCTGGAATATTTTCCCCAGAACAACACAATTCCAAGGTCAACAAAAACTATATTCATACCACTAAGCAATGATGGCAAGATCTCAAGGAAAAAAATCTGAAAAGCAACATCCATCATTAAAATGGCATTTAAATGAACCATGCCCACGTTTTTGTCATAAAACATAACTGCCCACCAAACAGCTAACTACTCAAAGAACAGAATGAACACAACTGCTCTGGGAAAAGATACATGTATCTGCAGAAACAGCTGCCAGGGCATAACACTGGATTTCAAAAGAGGCTTTCTACAGTGTCACTCCCTTGAACAGAACTCTGTGTTTCTGCCGGAAAGCACAGTTCATGTTAGTCAAGATGATCCTTCCCCTCCTTTTTCAGTATTGGTGATCATATCAGACACTGACAGGTCAGACAGTGGTACATTGTATGGAGAGGAAACCAAAGAGGTGTGGTGCTCTCCAAACTGGAAATTTCCAGATAACCACTATTACAGAGATTTTAAAGAACTGACACGTGAAACAACAGCTGCATGCCAAGACTGGTGAAATCTGGTGTACCATTCTCCAGATGGAGTATTTATGTAGCTTCAGTTGCTTTATTTTGACGTCATTAATACACAATGTCTTTTCCATAGGTGCTGAAGAACACTTAGGAAAAAAAAGGGAGAAAAATCAGTACTTTGCAATTTTTTTTCCCTCTTTTATCTTTGGCAAAAAAATACCATTGGCAGGTTAGAGAATCCTATTTTATTTAAGAAAGGTCTTGGGTCATGACAGATAAGGGTGGTAAACAAATAATGGGAATTCTGTAAAACACTGAGTCAAGGTCCACATAACCAAATTTACTATTTTTTAAACAAGTTTCTCATAGCTCTGCTACCTAAATACTACTTTACTCACTTTACAGCTAGGTTAATTGTTATTTTAGACAATAAGTTAACCAAAAGAAATATAACAAAGTTACTGCTGATGGATGCAATAAACAGAAAAGCTCAAACCAGTAGACAATATTAAGTGATGCTATTAATTTAGCAAAGGATAAAAATGAACAATACGACTGCGGAAGACAGCAGTGGGAAATTCAGAAGTACAAAAGAAAAGACTGAAGTGAAGGCTGTAGTAGTTAGTTGTGAGCTGAGAGTTTTTCAGCTTGAAGAGAAAAAGGAGAATCCAGGGTGTACTGATCTCAGTAACAAATCAGAAGTATGTGGCTGAGGAAAAATTGTCTCCATTTGAAACAAATACTTTTACCAACATATCCCACACTGGACAAAGCTTATTTGGATGAGCTTTTAGTTTTGGTCTTGTAGGTTCAAGGAAGAACACTAAATTGTCACTGTTCTATGTTCTATATTCTATGATTCTATTACACAGAGAATAACTGATATTAAATCTTCCACTGATCATCTTCTGAGAGAAAACAAAAAATTATCTCCAACATTGCAAAGAAAAGAATGAGAGAGCCTCCTCCAAACACAAAACCAGATCATTTCAATGTGCCTTAAGTCAACCAGCATGGCAGAAGGTTGGCAGGAATGAACAAGTCCTACATGGACTTGGAATTCAAACAGGACAAATACAGTGGAAACACAGCCAGCCTACACCAGAGGAAAGTATAAATATTACTTCTGTGTAGAGGAACACAGTTGTAAAAGTCAGTGCTTGGCTGGAGCTGAAACAACTCAGAGAGGTGGAGGACAAAAAGAAGGGTTTCTATATTAGTGAGAAGAAAAAGAAACCAATGAACCAACCACCGTGTTTTCTTGATGACTAGAAAAATCTAAATGTTATACCCATTTTCCAGGATGATATAGGGAACTACAGACTGATCAATATCACCTCAATCCTGGGGAAGACTGGGGAGCAAATCCACCTGGAAGTAATTTCTAAGTGCATGCAGGACCGGGCATTGATTTATGACATGTATTTATGACAAGGCAAATTTTACCTGACCAGCCTGGTTGCCTTCCATGATAGGATGACAGACTCTGCAGACAACCAGGGAGCAGTGGTTATCATGTTCTTTGGCTTCAGCAAGGTCTTTGACATGTTCTATTATCCTATGCTTATACTCAGTCTGAAAAATACGGACTGAGTAAATGGACTAGCAGATGGTTGGAAAATGGGCTGGACTGAAGCCTTCAGAGTTTGCACAAAGTCCAACTGGAAACCAAATACTAGTGACAGTTCTCAGGGAGTATTGCTGGGACCAATCCTATCTAGCATCTTTGGTAAAACAGAGCATACTCTCAGCAAAGCCACAGATGGATGAGGAGAAGGTGTGGAGGGTGCAGCAGTCCACAGTCTGGATGCCAGGCTGCTATCCAGGAGGCCTTCAAGAGGCTGGAGAAATGGGCAACCAAGAACTCATTTATTTCAAAGGCAAGCGCAAAGTCACATATTTGGAAGAGAACAGCCCCATGCAGCAATACAGGCCAGGGACTGACTGAGTAGAGAGAAGCTTGGCAGAGAAGGACCTGCAGAGTCCTGGATGGCAGCAAGTTGAAGATGAATCAGTATGTGCCCCTGCAGCAAAGGCGTCCAACTGCATACTGGGGTTTACTAGCAAAAGTGCAGGCAGGTAGACAAAGGAAGCGATTCTTCCCCTCTCTGCTGTATTTATTAGTCTACATACAGAGTATCACATCCATTTTTGGGCTCCTCAATACAAGAAGGATGCTGTCAGGCTGGAACAAGTCTAGTGGAGGGCTACAAAGATTAGAGGCTGGAGCGCATCACAGGAAGAACTGTGTTTTGTTAATCCTAAAGGAAGTCAGCAAAGGGCATTACTGTCTTCAATTGCCTAAATAGAGTTTAGAGAAAAGATGTAGCAAGAATCTTCTTACAGGTGCACAGTCATAAAGCAGCAGCATCACAGGCTGCAAAACAGGAAATCCTAGTTGGATATAAGGAATGACAAAAAATGCCGGTATGGGGACAATCACACACAAGAACATGTTGCCCAGGATGTCTGGGGTATCTTCATACTCGGAAGCAGTCACAACGCAACTGGACCAGGCCCTGAGCAACATGATCTAGTTTGACTTATTTTAAGCAAGAGGCTGAACTACAGAATCTAAATTATTCTATGATTTCAACAGCCGGGGACTACATTTTAGCTGAAGTCTAGATACATTAGCTTCCAGCTTTTACTGCACTTAATATAGTAACACAATAAAGAGCAAGAAAGAACCAGAGAAAAGGAAGGAAGGAGAGGAATTGATGAAAGCAGTTTTTTGCTTGCTTGTTTGTTAATTAAGAGCATGTTTGTAGAACTTACTACATGCCTTTGTTCTGGTGTCATCTCTCAACTTTACCTCTTTTTACACCTGCTTTACTAATGCTCACCTTTCTGCACATTTGACACCTACCCTCTTTCCCACTCACAATCCAAAGAACTCATAGCACTTCTATAAATGAACCCAAGTAGACTGCTATACTTAACAAACTTGTTTCAATACAGAGAAAAAGTTCTTTCCAGAGAAAGACTTCCAAACAAATTAAAGAAACCCCCCAAACGACCCAAAAACCACAACAGAAATTTTCAAAACATGGAATTAATAGTTCCTGTGTCACAGCACACTCTAGTGAGCAATTAAAAGATAAGTTTAAATACCTATGTCATCTCCCTCAATTTAAATGTGCCTCTAAAATGTAGGATGTAGTTCACATATTTTGAAGCTGTTTGTACATATGTACATCTGTGTTTCTTGCTAGCAAGTCACTCGGTCCAGATATTAAATCAACTGCAGATATTTCAACATGCTAGATTAATTCTCAGCTGGCATCAAAATAACTAGGAGAAATGAAGCAGACGGGAAATGTGAAGCTAATAAACACAGAAAGAAAAAAAAGCAGCCTCAAAAATATAGAACTTGGAAACCTGGAAATCTTGAAAATTAAAGACTGATGCAGAGACATAAGTGGTTCTGCATGGAAACAAACCAGCCAAATATCATCAGCACTGAAGCAACCTGATTAACTCAGCTGGCTGAACTTGCCATGACTCTTGCACAGCCACCAACATGTCCTAGCACTCAGCTCCCCAGTGTTTCTTGAGGAGTTTTTTCTTTTGAAGCCAGTTAAGGTCCAGTGCCTCCCTGATCTAATGACTGCTCTCAGAAAAGGAACACAAAGCCTGGTCTACTGCAGAACCCCCTGGGTTTTGCTGTACCATTTGAGTCATGTACTATTTATTAGCTCATTATTAGCCATGCCAGAACTAGGCCATTCCCACGCGAAGCCACAAAGACTTGTTTCCACTAAGACTCTTCACTGCTCCCTGGAGTAACACAGTGAAGACAACCCAGGCTGCCACAACAAAGTTAAGTCATGTCAGGCCTATGTTTTTAGCTTAGGCTACGAGTTACACATGCACAGCTGCACAGTGTAACTCCCAAGGCTGAGCTGTCCCTGGAAACAATGCAGCCGCAACCACACAGCCCAGCTTTTGGGCTCATCTGTCTCTGAACTGAAACCAGTTCACATATTCACATTCATGACATGGTTCATGTACAGAAAATTTCAGGGTTGCATATACTGGAAGGTGACAGCATATGGAAAAGTCTTTTTTGGTGATTGCATAAAAATCCTCACCCAGAGACTACTGCACAGTTTATACAAAGAAAAAAGACAAAGCAGGAACAGTAGCCATGCCAGTACCTTCAGTGTCTCATCACCGAGTCTGACATCAACAGATGAGGATTCCTTACACTCTACACACATGTAATTTCCTTTCTTTAAAAAGGAAGGGTTTGGATAATTTATCATCACAGAAATAGCCCTTCAACACCACAGGCAGAAATCAGAGCCTACTGTGACAGGAACTGTCAAAGAATAAAATTACCTCAAACTAGAAACTCAGCTCCTAACTTTCTGATGGATGAACTAGTCACCTAGGCTCTTTATACCTAATGGAGAGAAATAAGCATCTTCAGACACAATTCAAAACAACTGAAATAGCTCTGGAAGTGCTGTCCTTTCCAACTGATAATAGTCAATCTAGTCATCTAGGCGCCCACCAGCCTAATGTATCATTTTCGGACAGCTAAAGTATTAGGCCTGGATTCAGCTCAAATAATCCACTTTGAGAGTGTGCAGACTGGCCAGACAGCACAGACTAGACAAAGCAATGCAAAAGGAAAAGAAATGACTTTATGACGATCACAGAGCAAGTGTGACAAAGCTAATAATAGCATCCAGTGCAAATTTCCTTATCACCAGCTCTTGCCATCTCCCATATGACAAAAAGCTTTATTATTTTGCTAGCAACAAAATTAATGATACCTGGTTTTCCAGAGATTTGTCCCTACATCTCATCACAGAAACTTCAGCTTTATCCCTCTGTTCCTGAAGAATGCCTTCCCATCACACACAGTCTCCAAATCCTCCTACCTCTCTCTTCTAACACTGTCCCGCACAATGTTCCTGTATTTCTACCCTCATTTTTTCTTTATCTACCAATAGGACATATGCTACTTTTGTCCTAGGGAAACACCAGTTTTTATACAAGCTGACCAACCAAGAGGCAGGTCAAGCAGAACTTTCTTTTTCTTATGGAGGAGACAGTTTTTGAAGTGGGATGGAACAAGACTTCGTAAGAAAAACTGGGAGTTAATTGGTGTCAGGGCTCTCTGTGACCAACAGGCTCTGCAAACTTTTATCCCTCAGTGCAGATGTGTAAACTTGAGTCAGGCTGTGATGAACAGAGTTGAGCTGTAACGCAGACCTGTGCAAAAGCTCAGAGGGGCTCCCCCTCTTTACTCAGGATTTGCATTTATGCTCAGTCTGTTAGTCTTAGGCCTTTCTTGAGCTACACTGCAGCTATGCACAAGCTCAGCATTGCTGTTCCTGACCCTGACTTGACTTGTAGGTTTGACCTCATCCCAATGAACTTGTCTGCACACACTGACACTGGCTCACCCTGGTTTCCAGCACAGAGCCCGCCCTGCTCACTTTACCCCAGCACAGTGGGGCGGCGCTCTTGCTAGGAGGCCAGTGCCCAGCCAGGCCTGCTGTGACACTTGGCTCCCCAGCCATCATGGGGCAGCTGGCCTGTGCTGCTTCCAGACAGTGCCTGAGAAAGTGTAAGATTTTCAGGCTCTCTGAATTGTTAATACATTTGAAATGCATAGCATTCAAAGTTACTGATGATAGGGGAAGAGATGCAGGTAGGCAGGCAGATGCAGGAAGGTCAGTCATACAGACCTTCAGGAATATGGCTGAGATTTCTTTCCTCAGCTTAGACAGTTATTTTAACCCCAAAAAGAGGTTTTATTTGAGGTAGCAAGAGGATGCATGGCTATAACAACTGGACCAATGATCAATATTGTCTAATACTAGACACACAATTAATGTGCACCTCAGAACAAGTTGTGTCCTTAGAACTGTAGTCACCCATTAATTACAATACACAGACATAACCAATGCATCAGTATTTCAGTAAGCCTTCTTAATCCATGAAAAATTTGATCTAAACAACTAAGTCAGCTTATAAGAAAGCTCAGATCAGGAAATGCTAAAAATATGTTTGCAGAAATTGATTTTATCTACTCAGATGCTACAAAGAACTATTCCTAAGCAAACTCTGCTTCATGTATGCCATATCCAAATGCTAAAGAATGTCTAATTTCTACAGAAGTTAGAAAACACAGGTTTATAATTTTTAATTTTTATACATACATATACAAATGTACACACACTTACGTAGTTTGCCCAGAGCCTGAAATGATTGTGTCCATCTATACACAGACACCTATCTATATATACAGACACAAACACTTCAAACATCCAACAGAATATTAGCATTGGAATTAAACTGCTTTAGTCTTTAAGCCTCCTACTCATAAGGATATTCCATTCATAAAATCTATGAAAGCACTGAAATCAGATTTCAATGACAATCATTGAAAGACAGAAATCATTGAAAACCAAAACAGTCAATGAAAGAATGCTTGTAGGATTTATTTTTTTTTTAATGACAATTTTATCCTTTCAGCAGAATTTAAACAGGTTATTGTGGTTCTTGTCTAATGGATGATTAGGAGCTTTGGAAAAGCCTGCTCTTACCTTATGGTGTTTTGGGCTGATGAATCCTCAGTTCCTTTATGTCCAGCTCTTTTGATACCAGTACCAGGAGAATTATTTGCATTCATGCATTTTTCTTCTTCCATTACAAGATCACGGAATGACTTTGGGAAAGCAGAATGTAATGAAGATGACCTAAAAAAACCAACCCCAAAACCAACTATTTTATACTTGCAGTGTCCAAGACTCCATATTGTTCCATGATTCATATAGCAGAGGGCCTTTTCAGTTACTAAAAATAAAAATACAATATTACCTAGCTTTTGTAACTCATCATTATGCCTGCTAGACCTCATTTACCAAAATTGGTCACTTTGGGTCAAACAGATAAGCATCAGATAATAAGTACTTATGAGAACAGAACAAGCCAGTCATATGGAATTTTTATTAGAAGGAAAACCAACAACTTACACAAATACCCAAACCCATCCTTCCAACTATTCCACACCTAACCCATTCTCAATTTTATTTGCACAGACACCTTGTCTTAGACAAGCTATATTCTTATAAATCACACAACGCTTTAGTACTTTCATTCTAATATTGTTAGTTTACCACCATGGAAGTCAAGTACAGCTGATGATCTTTCCGTAAGATATGAGTTACTCATATCTGCTGGAGGCGATATAAAACACTTAATTCACACTCAAATTCCTAAAACTGATATGCTTTACTTTGTTTTACTTGCCAAAAGTATAGCCTGCAGTATTACTGAATTAGAGCCTGCATATTATCTTTCAAAAGTAAACAAGTATGAAAATATAGCAATTTAGTATCATAGCTATTCTGAACATTTTCTCATCCAAAAGCGTTTTTATGTACAGAATTCAAGGTAGTTACCATTAGCTTCTTCCTCACCCATCAAGGCTTTGGAATTAATTCTTCATACATTTGCTTACATTTAACTTTACTAAGCACAGCAGTCCCACTCATTGTCAAATACATATTGGAAGAATAGCTCTGTTCATTATCTACTCAAATATGAGATCAATTATAAACACTACTGAAGTAAAACTAGCTTTCTATACAATGCTAATTGTTGTGCCGCCAGCATAAGCAGCAAAGCATCTTAAGCCGAAGACTGTCAAACTCTTACCTATGTGGTTCACAATTTAAGACAACAAACAAGGCAACTAAAACACTACAACACTGTATCTGAAATCTCACAACAAAAGCAACTGAAAGTTATATATGGTGTCTGAACCCCCTCCTCGACCACCTAGGCTTATGTCTGGAAAGGTTCTGTTGTTGAGTTTTTCCTCTTTTTTTTTTTTATTTAATATTGCATAAACAATGCAGAAGGCACAGAAAGCAGAATGAGAACCCTCAGATGCAGGGGCGTTTTTGCACAGAGTCATTTTGCACATCCTCTATTCCTGCCACCAGCTGGTACACAAGAGTCCAAGCAAGTGTTTGACCAGAACTACCCCACATACACTATACCAAGAAGGCAAATAGTTCCCTTGGGATCTGCTGACGCAGAAGCTTCTTTTTTAAACAGTTTAAGTAGCCTATTTTCACGAAAATTCTGTACTGCAATCAGATCCATTTGCAACACAGCACCAAAACTCCCCCCAGAAAATACCCAAAACACTACCCTGCCTCTTGTCAAAAAAACAACCCTGCATCATTCTCACCTTGTGAACCTATCCAAAACAGTTACTGGAGGCTTAAAACGGTTCACCTTAAACTGGTAAAAATTTTCCTAAGGGCAACAACTCTGTATTTCACCTTGCACTGCCTGATACATTGTCATTTCTATCTAATTTGTAACATTAGAAAAACTAATTTATACATCTTTTTTAAAAAAGTGAATGCAACAAAGTTCCTTTAAGCTGTAGCTGTAAAACATCAAAATCAGGAGGTTTCAAAACAACTGCTGGTGTTTCAGCATAAGCTGGACAAACTGACAAACTAGACATTAAAATATACAATTGCCAATTCTCAGGCTACACTCCAAATATTTTTTTTTCTGCCTCCACTCTTGAAGAGCCATAGGCTTTCCTGAGGTTAAAAAAAAAAACCAAAACAAATAAACACCACCCCACCCACCCCTCCCCCCCTTTAGATATGGAAAACTAACAGAGTTAACACCTAGCTTCTTGCATTACATACTCTCAAAGTGTTCCTAGAGTGACTCCCGTCCCCCTTCTAATTTCCATTTCTCTTCAAAGGAGGAAAGGTAGGTTCAGTCCCCCAAAAACTGTGAAACTGGCAGACTTTTTGGTGGAAAAGGTAGGACATTGTGAATAACAGACTGTCTTTTAGTCAACCAAAAAAGAGCCAGAAGGTCCCACACCCTTCTGGCAAGTGTGCTCTCTGCACATCCAAGATGAGTATCTTATTTCATTGGAACACAAGTTCTATGGCTTTGACTATACTGCATGTGTGGAAAGCTCAATATATTGCCAAATGCTTAATAGTCTGTTGTGAATTTACAGAATATAAAACTTTGCAAGTACAATATAAGAGCAGATGAATAGCACCGTTTTACCTTACATACAAAACTACAACTAGAGGGGCAGTCAAATAGTTGATGGCTTGCCTAGAGCAGCTAAAAATTTATTCAACAAATGCTCTCTTCCAGCAGCTAGGCATAATTTTAAACATTCATATACCTCCTACTGGTTCTTTGCTTGAACTCTTGAGCTACTGGCATTTTCCAGATCAGCAGCCAGTGGAATGCTGCAGAAGAACGTACAGAATCATGCTTGGTGACCACATGAGCATTAGATGGATTCCATCCTCCTGAAACACACCCTGGCCTTTCCACTTAAGATGGTTTGTGTAACACAGTATGGCCCAGCTACTTTTAAAAACTCTTTCATCAGAACCTTAAGAGAACAATGTATCTTCTGGAGATAGTTATCTAAGCATATTAAAAAAATCAGCCCACACTTTTTAAATGCAGGGAACAGTTCATAGGCAGTTGGTACTTTAAATTAGGTAACAATAGGCAAAGAATTATCTATCAAAAAGTTGATGTATAGCACAAATACTATTCAGATCAAGGAAGTTATGCCCCAAACTTTTTTTTAATCAGGGTTTCTTCTAATATCTTACTTTCTGTATTAAGAAGTAAATAATTTAACTAGAGGCATCTAACTCATGTGCTTCAGTCAACCAGTACAAATACTTCTAGAGTCATTTATCTCGCACTGAAAAACAGGACTTCAGGAACCAACAAAAACCTCTTCTAAAGAAGTCCAGATAACTAGATAAGCTATGCAATGTCTTCCAAAGCCTACTTCAGGCTCTACTATATCTGGAGGTCGTGTATAAAGCAGAAAAGGGAAAGACCAAGCTGGAGAACGACATCATCCTGCAGAGGAGTTCTCATAGCCCCTTCTGGTGATATCCAAAGACTGTCAGAGACAAGTATACAGACCTGCAGCTTGAAAAAGGCTAGCAGAACAAAAAAAAAAAAAAAAAAAAGAATTTAACTGATGATATTTAAGATGACTGGTCAAAAACACCCATGAAATGCCTACAACAGTGATAATTAACATCAGCCCAAGCCACGGAATGGCAGGTGTGGGGATGTTCCTTTGAAGACCCCACTGTGACCACAGAAAGGCCCCTGACTCTGTTGGGTCACTGAGGAAAAGGACTGACTCATGCAGGCCATGGTCCACCTCATCAGCAGTGCTCCTGAGTAGCTGCAGCTTTTCTCCTACATGAGCATGGACACCCCTTTGAGTCACCCATCAGTTACTGCACAAGAGCATGGCTTCCATGGTGCTGCCACACTGAGTCACTGATGGGTAGAAAGGTGGTAGGTTTGTAACAACACATATATTAATGTGTGAATAAGCCCATGCGATTTGTGTGTGAAAGACTGCATAAATCATTGCCACAGATGTAGTGAAGGGCCCAAAATTGAACACAGCATCTGAGGCCTCACCAATGCAAGTACAGGGGGATGATCACAAACCTAGCCCTCCAGGCCACAGCAGTTCTGATATTAAAAAAAACAACTAACTTGCTGCTTGACCTGCAGTATCACCTGTGTAAAGCACAGAAAATGTTCTTTGGGCATTTGAGATCAGTGTTAACGATTCTGAAATTCATCCACTCACTAGAATTCCGAAGACAAATCTTGCAACCGTTCTTCCTCCTATTGTGAAGGTGCCAATTACAGTTTAGAGGTCAGGTAGAGTTTGAATCCTTCAGCACAAAGCAATTCATTTCTTCTTTAAGACAAAATTATGGGCTTTGCCCAGTGTTGTACCAGAGTAACTTTTGGGGGCTATGGGAGTAAATGAGACCCTAAATTTTGGTATTAGGTGTACATGTTTGAAAACAAATTCAGTTGACGCATTCATAAGTCCTACTTGTACAAATCAAAGTGAAAGAATTTCACTTTTTCTTAGATTTACTTGAAATACTGTGTGCTGGGTATTCTAAAATCAGGTCACCTTAGGCAGTTCATTTTAGTACTTTACTGTAACAACATAGCTCTATAGCTTGTAAGGGGGACACTAGAAATACATGGCATATAACTTTTTTAAAAAGTTTTAATCTAGCCCTGATATACAGATGCCTACAGAGAAGATTTCTTGTCGCCACTTTACTGATCCTTGGAGGAATCCTGACCAGTCACTGTCAGAATCACTACTTGAAGGACACACCATGCTACATTACCTTGAATTCACTAAACAACTCCCCATTTCATATCAGATTTGACGCTCCCTGTAAAATAGTAAAGCCCTTTAAACGTATGTTTGAATGTACTGCATGGTGTCCACTGGAGAAGCAAAGCTTGTTCTGGTATCATAACTGGAAACAGAATACCATTTTAGAATCAATTATTATGCACAACTTTGGGATGACTATAACATGCTCTCACAGGTTTTCAAATACATTACTGATTTTGAACACCATCTCTATCTTACCATTATGATGTTCTGGGATATTACTGTTACTACTATGGTCTGAGATAACAGCATACCAACAGACCTATATAGCATCCCAAATAAATCTAAAGGCTTTTTAAACTCAAGATATTGATCATAAAAGCATCCATCCAAAACAAAGGAAGATGAGGTAACAGATACATGAAACAGAGCAAAGAAGCAAGCAGTTCTAGATATTACCCCAAACCTTTTGACACAGAACACCTCTCAGGAAGAAGCTACTGCCAGGAAGCAGCCTACCTTTTCCTCAGTCAGCCAGTCATGAGATTTTTTTTTTTCTTTCTCTCCATAGACTCATTAAGTAGCTAACAGGCTACATGTCTGTTTTGAACTTACAAGAGCATAAAGGCAAAGATTCCAGCAGATGCTTACTACTCTTATATCTGAAAAGAGCAACCAATTCATATAAAGGATCAAAGAAAACAGAGCCAAAAGACACGAGGGAGATAGCTCTTATTGTGGAACATAAACCCATTCTTTGAAAGACAGATTCCTATTTTATTTTGAAATCTCTCCAATACAAAAGGAAAACTACTACAATAGCATTTAAAACAGCTAAATTGTGTAAAAAGACTTAATTTAAAATACAGTGACTGTGGTAAGTATGCAGCAAGCTTTGTTCCCACTGAGACAACACCAGGTAAGCTCTAGAGAGGAGACTGACTCAGAGTTCTTCTAAGGGTCCATTAGTGAAGCAACCTGCAATGAAAGTCTAGTCCTTGAACAGGGGAAGGGGAGAACTGACCAACATTTATCTTAAATTAAAAGCATGTGCATAGGTATTTATTAAATTTACATAGCTTGCAACTTTTAGTTATGTCTTTATGCTTTCACCTAATATCAACCGTAAATGTGAAGAACAAAGCACGGATAGGGCTAGCACCTCATTACAGTCATTGCTGCAAACCTAGTTCATTGAACAGATGATAAACCACTTTTCCATCTGATACAGTGATACTAACCTGAACATTTACATTGCATGTAATCAGAATTAAAAAATTTAAATCCATTATGCATCCTTCCACCATTAAGAAGTCTCAGCAGCATCTATCACTCCCTCCAGCTCCTAGACACGTAACTTATCTATAATTTAAGAAGATGACAGTCCCTTCTTCATCAGTTTTGCTCTACTCCAAAGTCATTAGAGCCCTTTTCCCCTGGAAGGGCTAATATTTCTCTATGTTTTTGACAAAGAAAAAAATACCATTCATAATGGTTTTCAATAATCTTTTCCTGAATCACAGAATCCTAAGGGTTGGAAGGGACCTCAAAAGATCATCTAGTCCAACCCTCCTGCAAGGGCAGGGTAACCTACAGTACATCACACAGGAACTTGTCCAGGAGGGCCTTGAATATCTCCAATGTAGGAGACTCCACAACCCCCCTGGGCAACCTGTTCCAGTGATCTGTCACTCTCACAGTAAAGAAATTTTTCCTGATGTTCACATGGAACCTCCTATGCTCCAGTTTACACCCATTGCCCCTTGTCCTATCACTGGACATCACGGAAAAAAACCTAGCTCCATCATCCTGACACTCACCCTTTACATATTTGTAAACATTGATGAGGTCACACCTCAGTCTCCTCTTCTCCAAGCTAAAGAGACCCAGCTCCCTCAGCCTCTCCTCATAAGAGAGATGTTCCACTCCCTTAATCGTCTTTGTAGCTCTGCGCTGGACTCTTTCAAGCAATTCCCTGTCCTTCTTGAACTGTGGGGCCCAGAACTGGACACAATAATCCAGATGTAGCCTCACCAAGGCAGAGTAGAGGGGGAGGAGAGCCTCTCTTGACCTACTAACCACACCCTTTCTAATGCACCCTAGGATGCCATTGGCCTTGGCCACAAGGGCACATTGCTGGCTCATGGTCATCCTCCTACCCACCAGGACCCCCAGGTCCCTTTCCCCTTCACTACTGTCCAGCAGGTCAACCCCCAACCTGTACTGGTACATGGGGTTGTTCTTCCCCAGATGCAAGACTCTACACTTGCCCTTGTTGAATTTCATCAAGTTCCTCTCCGCCCAACTCTCCAGCCTGTCCAGGTCTTGCTGAATGTCAACACAGCCCTCTGGTGTGTCAGCCACTCCTCCCAGTTTAGTATCATCAGCAAACTTGCTGAGGGTACATTCAGTTCCCTCATCCAGGTCGTTGATGAAAATATTAAACAGCACTGGTCCCAGCACCGACCCCTGAGGGACTCCACTAGTCACAAACTAAGTTTCAGAGCTTGTGCTCAACCTTCTTTTTCTATGCTTCACTTTGACACCATCTGCAAATACCACATCACACAAAGGCAAGAACTAGATGGGATGCACACTTCTGACTCACCGTAGCAAAATTTCAAAGAACTGTTAAACTGCAACCACTGCATTTCCCTGCCCCCTTTGAATTTCTAGATTACTACCAAATGTAGTACAAATAGCTCAATGCTAGTCTTTTTAATGAACAGAATGAACAGAACCTAGGCTGTATTTAAGAAAATGCTTCTATGAGACTATTAAAAGTAAAAACACTCCAAAGAAAAAGAAGTGATATTTGACTTGAACATACCAGGCATTTCCTAGTTTTACAACTTGTGTAGGTGGGGGTGGTGCAGTTACTAATGTAGTAGTCTCTGTGCTGCTAGTTATTGATCCGTTATCTTTTGCTGCAAGTGCAATCATTTTCCTTTGCTTCTGGGAAAGTTTGATTCCATGAGAAGCCATTCTGCTGTGAATTGATATTGAAAAGAGAGATGTAAGATAAGTGTCCTTTGAGATGACTCACCTTTAATCTTGTAAATTAAACTGAGAAATGCTTCCTTTCTAGACCAAAATACTTAGTCTTGAATGTCAAAAGGGGAGCATATGGGAGGTGAGGGATTGGATGGCTGGGGACCAAAAGAAGGATCAATGTATATCAAGAATAACAAATAAAAGCATCATAAAACTATTTTTCATATAGATGTCTATAGATGAAAATATGCAGAGTAGGAATCAAGCCTCTAAAAGAGACAGACTACCACCAGATGAAGACTATTTTCTAATTTTGTGATTTTTGAGACTGTCAGCTTAGCTCCCTTAAACCAAAATATTCACGCATTAAAAAAAACTTATACAACATAAAGGCATTTTTTTCTATTTGTAATAATATTTTTTCTAAGCTATTTGGATTCTTCAGTCTTGGCTGTTTTGTTCATAGCTTCTGAATCTACCTAGCCAGCAACCTTTTACAAGGCTGCAGTACTGCTGTCCTAGCTCTCCTCTAATGCTACACTTCAAATTTCATGAAAGTCATCTCCAGTTCTTTTCCAGATCTTGCCAGTTAGGAAACACTAGGTTTAAACCACTGCTTCCTGAAAAAGTACATTTGTCTCCCTGTGTCTTTGGGATGCTTCTCTGAGCAAAAAAGGAAGAATTGTCAATATCAACACATGGATGCTGGGGTGGTCAGAGAATGTGAGACAATAAACAAACTTCAGGATGGATTACTTGTGGATCAGGACTGGTCTGGTCCACAAGTAATTTCTAAAGTGCTATAGACAAGAATTAATTAGCAATGAGAAAGCTCAGCAGAGGCAGGTCAATGATTTAAGATACTAGCTTACCAGCTCGCTCTTTAATATTTTAAAAGCTAAAATATGCATTTACCAAGATCAAAATAAAGGGATAGATTTCATATGCTCACAGCAAAACACCATAATGAACTGAAGTAAACAAAGCTGTTTAAAAACAAATATGACAGCTTTTCTCCTACCTTTTTTAAACTCTAAACTGCCTGAACCACTAACTAAATTCGTAGTAGCCTGGTCTATCACACTCTTCTTTTATACATTTTGGTTTTTTACCAACCCTGAATTTGCCTTTGGCATGGCTCCACATTTCTGCATACTTTCTTCAATTTCCATGATAGTTCTTAGATCCATAGCAGGAGGGCTGGCAGGGCTAAATGAAAAATAAAGAAGTTACCTTACAAGGCACTTATTTTTACTTACATTCCACAGTTCCAGCCTTCACTGAAATCCTCTAAATCATACATAAGCTTGGTAACCGGATGTATAATTCATTTCTGTTTCCTCAATTATGGGAAACCTCAAATAGAATGTTTCTGACAAAACTTTTATAAATATAAACACATTTAAGAGCACACCATAAAAATACTTTCAAGACTCATTATGCTACGAAGCAAAAAGATGTCAACTATGATTACTTAAAAAAAAATTGGATACCTACATCCAGGGTACTTATTCCATAGTCAACTGCTCATGCTAAGTATTAGAGAGGCATTGCTTGCAACTCTTTCGCAAAGGCTCAATAAGATCTTTCTTTGAAGAATAGCATTAAATAATTTCACATGGCAAACAGAACACTCTTTGTAAAGTTAGAGCTCTGTACAAACAGCAGTAACATTCTCAGACTTTACTATCAGTTTCTTTTTTCATAAATGACTTTATTTTAAAACTCCACAGAAATGAACATGAATTAAAACCAGACATTTCCAAGCTTTACATAAAACTATATATTAAAACCTGTGTACTTAAAGGCATTTGTAAACTAAGCTGTGTTATAATTAGATTTAAGGACAGGCTTTGAAATAAAATATAGGCAGCACTGCCTCTGTCTCTCCCTACATAAAAACCAACTGCCATAGACTAACTAGTAAATTACCCACTGGGAGGTCATACCAAACCCTGTTGTCACTGCTCCTCCACAGTAGTTTAAGCAAATACACTACGGTAATAACGCTTTAAACATTCTACACAACAGTGCTGCTTGCTTTTTCCTGACATCACACCACCAATACCAGAAAAAGTGAAGAGTACAAGGGAAACCCATAAAGCACAGTGAGATGACAATAAAGTGCTACGGCTTTATTTGTTCCCCTTCCATGCAATCCTCCAGAAAACATCTGAAAAGAACTCTTAAGATAGCAGATGAAGGTGGAGCAAGCAGACTTGGTTATGGGATGTTATTACCCTCTCTGCATAGACTAGGCTTGCACAAATACAAAGTGAGACAAAACAGGTTCCTAACAGACCCCGGTTCCTAAACAATATTATTTCAGAGCTGCAACTTTTGATCTCTACATCTGTATCACCTGTATTAACAAAGCCCATCAGCCACAAAACAGCAGAGCCTAATAAAACTGTGGGAAATTATCACTATATGATTCCCTAAAGCCTTAAACTTTTTTCTATTCAATCTTTATTTGACAACTGTCAGAGACAAGACACCAGGCAAGACAGAACTTCAGTCTGTCACAGCAGTACTGCTCATTTTAATATGCAGATACTGCTACAAATAAAACTAAAGTTTTATTACTGCATCAGTTAAACCTGTGGCATTGATTCTTGTAAGTCTAAAGGTATGCCTTAAAAACTTCAAAGTACAATGGTGTTTCTAATGGCTTCAAGCATGGTCTGATTAAAAAAAAACCTGCCAAGTATTTTACAAAGTGTTAACTAAGCAGACCTAAAAAAAAAGACATTAGATGTCCAGACTGGCAGCACTTCAAATAAGTTAGTATATATATATATATGTTTCTTTTTTGCAAATTATAATTAAAAAATACGTACTGGTCTAATATAACTACCAAAATCTTTATGGGTCAAGTAATGTATGCTCCTTTTGAACAGCAGATAGCTTTTTAGCCTGAATATTATTAATATTCACTACCAAGTGCAGAACACTAAGTTAGATAGGCACTACAACTATTACTTCACCTGAAACTAGCTGCTACCCAATTGGGAGAGCTTCCAGAGTTGTTTTTGGCATGGGGAATGGACTGTGGAAGAGACTGTGTCAACGCTGATGATCCCTTGTATGACTTCATATCCCTATTAGGTTGAGAAGGTTTCATACCATGATTGCATGCTTTGTCCTTCATCTAAAAGAAGACAGAAAAATTATGAAAAAATATTCTCACATGTAAGTGAAAAGATTTAAAGGATACCTCAAAAATAGCAACAATGTAGTGAATGCCTGATGAGTCTGCTTCACACTTCACCCCGAATCATTTAAGTCTAAATACATATCTTGACAGTGGAAAATTCACTCAGAGATGTTCACTTCTAAAGTTTTAACATTTAACATAGGCACAATTCTCTCAAACTTATTTCTCTTTGCCAGTTATGGCTATTTTCCTCAATATTACTTCTGTCCAACTACAGTAGATGAAGAACAGCATGATTTTCCTGAAGTTTTTTTTACTTGGGTTTGGGTTTGGCATTTTCGGGATTCTGAACATTAGATTTGCTTTGCATGTTAAATGAAATATATAAAACTTTACATAATTGCTCTTTAAGTGTGAAATTTTCTGAATGCTGCAGTATATAAAAGTTACTATAGTACCATGTGAATAAATTACGCCTAGATGATTTCATGAGTAATACTCAGTTTTATTTGCTTTATCAGATAAAAAGATAACTAAAGTTTTTACATCATTTTAAGGACAACAGATTTGCACAAGCACTCCAAAACACAAACTCTGGTTTTGATGGACTATATAAACACAAATAAATTGCCAGGAACAAGTAAATCTAACCTCAGCCTTCTCTGGATGAAATCCTTTGGTGAAGTCCGGGGACTGCAAGTCTCTGGGGCTACCCACTCCTGCATAACTGCCTTCAGAGTCAGATGTTAAGAGTTCTGGAAGTGATTCTACAGAGTTAGTTTTATCCAGTTTTACAGAGCCTAAGAAACAAAAAGAGGAAGTAGAACTATGAAATCATGAGACCCAGACTAAACAATGCTTAAAGAGAAAAAAATAAAGAAAATGGAAAATTATTCACTCCATATGATCAATACAAAATAACCAGGGGTTTACTAGGTCCACTACACTAAACTGTAACAAGTATAAACAAGACCATCAAATATATTTTTCAGAGTAAGATTACTCCCAATTTTGTTTCTGTCTTGCAGTTTTAGGAAGTAAGGCTGACATTTTCCTGTTGAAAATGAGGTCTTCTACCATCTTTTCAATAAAGAGTGACTAATTTATATTTTTTATTCCAGAAAAAAAAGAAAACAAAACAACACAACACACTTTAGCAGAAATGTTCCACATATTAAAACCACATGGGAAAATGTCCATTAAGCTTATTTAATAAAAGTCATGTTTTCACAGAATCTGAATTTGGGGCACAACCTTAATATGACAAACATCATTTCAAACTAAATTTATTCTTAAGAATTCAGTATTAAATTCAAATATAGTGTTCATTAGAACAGAAATAATCATTGCAAGATTTCCTTACTGGAGTATAGAAATTGTACTGCATTGCATATTAAACTTTATGTTCTGGTTTTATATCTGAAAGGAACTCTTTCACACTGACCTGTGGAGGCTGGACTCTGAATAATATCTGATAAATTATATCCTCCAGAACTATTGGACCGTTTTCGTGGCTTCTTCTTTGCTTTATTTTTTGCTTTTTTGAAAAGGGCTTCCCTATTAAAAAACAAAACAAAACAACAAAAAGCAACAAAAAAAAACCAAGATGGACTAAAGCCAAAGAAATTAAGCCTCAAAAGTATCAGTGTCAATGTCAAGTTTTTCAATAAGCAGCAGCAGTTACACTTCAAGTATTAATACCTGGTCCTACCAGCCACTGCTAGCTGTTTCTGCTCTCTCTGCTTATGCACCGCCACAACTATTCAGTTAATGTTTGGGGGGTGGGGAACATTTCAAGAAGATAAGAAAAAAATTCTTTCCAATCTAGATCTAGTCTCTGGTCTAGTATACTACATAAAGATTTCTGCTGAGACAGTAGAAGACACAGCAGCTGCACAGGCTGGCACTGCCACCTAGGTCAGATTAAACCTGCTACACATCACAGCAACCAGCATAAAGCAAACTACATCTATGTCACTTTTTCCTCCCTTGATTTCTCCTAAATCAGTGAAGTAAAATAAAACTCCACAGTTGGCCTCATTTTCCACGCTCCCCAACACCATTACCATCAAGATAACTACTACAACTATAAAGTAGGTATGTAGTCATGCTACAAAAATGTTACATGTTCCTATATGATGTTAGAAAGAGTGGAATCAAATAAAAGGCATTTTTCATTTTAAGATAACTTCTAGAAATTTAGAATTACATGAATCAAAACAAGAGTAACTTTCAAGAACCTTATTTGAGAAGCTTTTTGTGAAACATTTTTTGTGAAATACATACTTATATTCATTCCTGAATCAATACTGTAACCTTACAATGCTTGGGGTTTGTTTAGTATTTCAATTCCGAACAAAAAGAGAGCTAGGAATCATGCAAAGGGGGATAAATAACATACACAGCTCTCCTAGTTAAAAAGGTGATGAAAAATAGATACTTACTGAGAATTTTGTTCTATATTCATTTCTTCCCTTAAAAAGACAAAGTTCTCTCCATCTTCAGGTTCAAAAGAACTTATGTCGGGTCCATCTGGATATGGAGTAATAACTCTCCTGACCATAGCAGGAATCTGTAGTTGTAAAGGCCGTTACATTAAGTTTCTCTTAAGTTGTATGTTAGCACATATATGATCTCTTATAAAAGGACCAACTCAACTGTCATTTAAACACCTGTACAGACCAAGTCAATTACTTAACCAGCTTAAAAAATTAAGTTACATCTTTAAGCAAAACAGAACTATTTTAACTGACACTCAGACTGCACATTTCAGCTGCCTGTAACCCCTGACAAAAAAAACCAAAACAAAACAAAAGATTCAAGGTTTTGAAAACACTCATCTTGTACTATCGTACAGTTAAAGAACACTGGATTATAACGTGCCTTGGCTTTCCCTTAATTGAAGTTCAACTTCCATATTATTTTTCTTACTGCTATTAAGATCTGTATGATCACTCTGAACTCTACACTGAAGAGGGACAATTTTCTTTCTTCTCCTACGTAACCAATGTCACATGAAACAACATAAGCAAAACCTGTTAAAGAGCAATTGTTAATTACAGAACATTAATATATTTAATGTGCATAATTAATTAACTTGAAGGACAACACTGTTGCAGCAGTGGCAAGCGAATAATGAAATATGAGCTCCATGAGTGGTAACAGCAGCAGCTAACCTTAGCTTTTGAGTCAGATGTTCCACATTCAGCCTGTCATCCAGTTCCACATTCAGCCTGTCATCTACAGACCCTGAACATTTATATTTATTACTCCTCTGTTCTCATTTTAAACCTAACCAGCTTACGCTCAGGTTGTACAACTTACAGTTTTCCTGTAATAATCTGAAAGATCCTTTACAACTTCATCACTTAAGATATCCAGAGTCCTTAAAAAAAAAAAAAAAAAGGAAAAAATAGATACATATAATCTCACCAGCTTTTTTTTTTTTTTTAATCAAGTTAGCATTTTAGATAAGTCTCACCTACAGGCATTGTTACTTTTTCGTGGTGGTCACAGAGTCAGAAGGAAGAAAATGAACACAAATATAAAAGTAGTCAATGCTCTTGTTGTGAGGGTTAAACACACAGCCTTTCCATATAGCCCAACTTTACTTACAGCCACAGCTAATACAGACCTGCACAGTCAAGTTACCATGAACTAGATATTACCTATTTCTGCATACTTTCAAGTCTTCCTGACATGTATCTAATATTCAAAATCAATGCGAATTCTTCTATAAAACTCAGCTACAAGATTCCTTGATATTTATACCAAACAACAACACTACAGCAACAAACATTACTCAACAGAACTGTCTTGCCCACATGAACAGATCTTGCACAAAACTGTCACAACTAAATTCTATGTGTCTCAGATTAAAAGTGTTGCTACCCAGTAATGCAGTAATGGCATTTTCAGATTTTCCACTAAAATCATAGAACAGTTACAGTTGGAAAGGACCTTAAGATCATCTAGCTCCACCCCCCCTGCCATGAGCAGGGACACCTCGCACTAAACCATGTCACCCAAGACTCTCTCCAATCTGGCCTTGAACACTGCCATGGATTATCACTCCTTTGGGCAACCTGTTCCAGTGCCTCACCACCCTCACAGTAAAGAACTTCTTCCTTATATCTAACCTAAGCTTCCCCTGTTTTAAGTTTGAACCCATCACCCCTTGTCCTATCACTACGGCGATAGGCTACCTTCAGGTACTGGAAGGCATATAGCCCTAATTGTAGTATGAACGTCTGCATGTCCTTTCCAGGCTTAGGATGAAAGAAACCTGAATAATAAGACATAACTAAAATTTTATTCTTCTCTCCAAAAATTGAAGGTTAAAATGTTTATAAAGTTGTGAAGAGGAAAATTGCTAACAGGAATTAATTTCTCTGCCTATGACACAAGCAGAGCACTTCTGTGACACAGCAGTGAAGTGCTGGCATTCTGAACTGGTTCTGATCTCTAAGAGCTTCTATAGCTAAAAGGAAGCATGACAAAAAGACTAGGAGTGGAAGAGTGAACCAATAACAGAGATGGGGGTTTGTTTTTTTTTTCTTTGCTTGGGTTTTTTGTTTTGCTATTTTTTATTTTAGGGTGGGTTCTTTTAAATCTTTTCTAAGAAAGTAAGTTAAATCAGTGCTAATAAGGCTTGCTCTGAGAAGATGGTATGTAATCTGGAAGCAACTTGAAGCTCTGTCCAAAAGCACTGACAGAAAGACAACCAGAGCACACCTTCAAGTGATTAAAATCCTAGCTGAATCATTGTGCAAAGCAAGGGTAAATAATTTGTTCAGCCTTCACCACATACTGCTACAGTAAAGAAACTACCAGAAGGTAGGCCCATTCTCTTTGGGAAATACAGCAACTGTAATAAACCTCCTTAAATTAGATTCAATTTGCATAGTAATCTGCTAATTTAGGCATCTTCAAAAACAATTAAAAAAAAAAACAAAAAAAACCTGAACAAGATTAATGCCTAATGTCAAAGCCCACTGAATTCAAGAGAGGTTTATCCCTTTAATTCAGGGTCTTCATGCCAGATTGCAACACAGGGTTTTGTACTATAGAACTGGTAGAGTATGTACAGATACTTAACTAGCTTCTGTTTGTCAAAAATGAGTCTCCCTTTGAACTACCAGCATTCAGTTGCATTTTAACATTTACCTGCTCCTATGAATTTTTCCAACCCTTTTCCCTTTTTGGCATGTTTGAATTCAGCAGCTAGAACATGAACACATTTGCTTTCCTACTTACCTCGATTCAAGCAAAGCTGCCATATTAAGTACTATGAACTGCAAGCACGACAGTTTTAACTGTTCAGCATTGTACATTGCAGAGAACTCCAACAGCTCAGCAGCATTCTTTAAAGTAACTGCAAAGAGGAAACACAACAAACTAAACTGGATAACGTGCTACAACATCATGAAGCAGTTTTTAAGCCTTATTGCACAGTTATTGAACATATTACTGAAAAATATACTTCATTCCCAGAAAAAATGCTAATGCTCTAACATTACTAACATAAACTACAGCAAGCTCCATGTAACTTTGTAGCAGTTTGAATTCAATGGCTTTTTCACAGAAATAGAAAGGCACTACCTACAAATGTATCAGTTTCAATATATTGAAACTCAGCAGTCTAAAAAAGGGGAAAAAGAAATTTAAAATCAAGTTTCATGTACAGCATAAATAGTTCTTTAAGCTCCAAATGTTCTCCTTTAGCAGGCAGAAGGAAAAATAGGGAGGTAAAAGGGGTAGCAGGGCAGGGAGAGAGAAAAAAACAAAAATAAAAATGGATGTAACTAAGAAATGCCAGCAAAACTTGTATGCTGACTTCCTGTATCAAGCTGGACAGCAACACTTAGCATTTTCTAAAAGGGACAGATCTTCATAGTCAAACAGAAACAGCTCTGTGTCAAACAAACAACAAGAGAATTAGTAAAATTAAATACAAGAACAGAAATAGAAACAGAACTTACTTTATCAAGTTTTAAAGAAGTCTGAATTCAGTGAATAAAGGTTTTATAAAAAATTCGGTTGTTTTAGTGGTTTTGGGTCTGGGGTGTTTTTTTTTGGTTGGTTGGTTTTGGTTTTTTTTTATTTTTTCTTTTTATTTAAGAGCATGAGATGAAGACAACAATGCATAAGGAAAAATCTGCTAACCTAAAACATCACCCAGACTAAAGAAGCAACTGTTAATAGCTGTGCAATGAATAGCAAAAGGTAATTAGAGCAAGAGAATAATAAATAATGCTGTACTGAAGAACTCACATTTTTCTGCAATGGCTACTTCACAGATTTCTTTGAGTCTGGATATAAGAAGCTGGTCTGCCACAACAAGAACATTACATATGAATTCCACATTTTGAGAATCTGGAAAACAAAGCATCACATAAACGGTGTGGCCAAGTCAAAAGCAACTATAACATATACAGCTTCAATGAGATTTTTACCGAGGAACAAACATAATGGTTTCTCAAATTTTGATGGGATTTTCACAGCACAAGGAATAGCTTTGAAGAACACACAGTTTTTCAAAGCAAGAGGAGGGAAAAGGAAAACTGCAGTTTGACAAACTAAAGAAGAAGTACAAAAAGGCCTGGGGTACAGGCATCACCTCAAAATTTAAAGCAAAAGTCACAAAAAAAATTGATTTTCTATATAAAACTGCAAACATATTGAGTTTCTATTTCTAAAACATAAAAATTGCAGGAGGTACAGTTGAGCTGAAAATATATTAATGGCACCTTTTATTGCAAGAGCTTCATCTGTATACAGGTAATCTACAATTATCTGTAGAATGTCAGAATGTATTGGCATTTCCAGAGCTGAACAACAGGAAGCCTAAAAGGCAAAGGGTGAAAAAAAGAGTGAAAGAAGCTGACTACCTGGAAAAAAAACAGAAAATTAAGAAAACAATTATATTTAGCAATTGACTCAGACTGAGGGTCACATTTTCAAAGCTAAACAATTTTTAAGCATTTGCACAAAGTTCTTTAATTAAGAATTGATTGTAGCAAAGCAATTAAAATTTGCTTAAACCTGAATAAATATCCATGAAATACTTCAGTGTTTCATCAGTCTGAGCTTCTTCTCTAACAATTCTCCTTGATTATATTACTTTACCCGCAATTGCCTAAAAGTAGATCTGCAGGAATCCCCTATGCAGGTACTGAACTGCTTTACTTTCAAGGTGAAAGATCTAGTGAAACCACAAGTTCCTATGCAATAATAAAATGAAATTGGCCATTACTGTTAATGCCTGAGAAAACAAGGTCCTCTGCAAACTCTCCATTTGGACAATTCAACCATTAAGGCAAAGCTTTTGTATGAACAAACTTTAGCCATTAAACCATGTAATTCTCAGCATTCAAGCTTATGCAACATCACTGCTTAACAAGTTTCTTTTGTTTCAGGTGGCACTGAAGCAAACTTCATATCACAAAACTTCTTCTGCTTCAGAATGTGCTACTGGTACTGATATATTTCCCATCTGAAGTTTAAAAAACTTACAGACGTTTAGATTTTTCTATACAACATCTAGACTTGATTTACAAAATATTTACTTGTGAATTCAGTATGATTTAGACTTACTTACAAAATAACACATAACTTACAAACTAAATATAACTGATACACAAATCTATGATTCATATGGACATTCAACACTTTAAAAATACAGTAATACATCAATCATTTGTCTCACATGTTTCAGATATATTTCCTCAGGGATGACTGAGGAAAAGGCAGCACAATAACTTAGAGGACAGCTGAAGTTCTGTCATGCAGCAGAAGGGAACTTCCAGTACTTTGCCAGGTTCTTAGATGTACATATAGCCAAAAAAACCATGAAAGTTCAGAAGACTCTTGCACACTGTTTCAGCTTTCAAACTCCAAAAAATGCTTCTCCATGTACACCTTTCCTCTCTTTACACAAGCATTATTAATTGTATTCAGACACTTAGAGGAATTTAGTGAGATTAAGATGTCCAGGAACAACCAGACCACTGACACATAGCTAGCAAATAGCAACCAACACAAACAAAAGATCTACACCTTTGTAACAGCAGCTGGTGACTAAGTGGAACAGTCACAGAATCATATAATAGTTAGAGTTGGAAAGGACCTTAAGATCATCAAGTTCCAACCCCCCCTGCCATGGACAGGGACACCTCACACTAAACTATGTCATCCAAGGCTCTGTCCAGCCCGGCCTTGAACACTGCCAGCGATGGAGCATTCAACTTCCTTGGGCAACCCATTCCAGTGCCTCACCACCCTCACAGTAAAGAACTTCTTCCTTATATCTAATCTAAACTTCCTCTGTTTAAGTTTTAACCCATTACCCCTTGTCCTACCACTACAGTCCTTGATATCCTTTATGTCACCGACAGTAAAAATCAACTAGAGATTCAACACACTGAATCTTGATTCTGCTGTATCTTTTTCTCACTACATATGAAAAGCTACTCCATATGGTATACTATTTAAGCTGCAAAAACTTTAACACAAAGAAAATGAAAATTCATCCAATGCAGTATCCCATAAGTCCAGCACCTTTTAAAAATTCACAAACTAACCCACAATAAACCACTAAAACAAAAGTAATAGTTTAATTTCCTTTGACAGATACTAATTATTACTCTCATTTAATACACAATCTCAGTAGTACAAATATAGAGTAGCCAAAAATGAGGGGGGTTTGTTTAGTTTTTTTTTCTTGCAAACAGGATCCACGAATCCAGCCTTTCAATTTCCCCAACATTTAGGATGCATTATACTAGGAAAAACTGAAAAACTGTCACTTATTTGATGCAAAAAAACATATGACCACAACTGTTTACTGGCAAGCTTACCTCAATCCATGAGCTGCTTAACATGCTGTGAAAATAATCTGAAAAGAAAGGCATTTCAGTTCAAGATGCAATAAAATTTCAGCTAAAAAAAGACAGTATGACTTATATGTGTATATATGTATATATAAAAATACACATACCAAGTCTTGCACAAAGTACACACTTATGACATGGGAATTCCTTTCCATCTAAAGATTTCAGGGTCACATCGCAGAGGTATGAACTAGAAGATATTTAATAGAACTGTGACTACTCAGAAGAGCTACAAGTTGTAAACTCTACAAATAAATTCTTACTTTAGCAAGTTATGATTTATCCTTTAAAAGAAAACACACCTGAAGTTTAACAATATCATATAAAATGAACCTAAAAGTACAGGTATGATAGTTTACAAAGAGAAATATTTTGTCCAAAACTAAGGTCTCACAATTCCATCTGAAATATTTCTTTTCAATTACTGTTCTAAAACTCCTGTGATCAAATAATTTTAGTCAATCTTAAATGGTCTATGTTATGTTAGTTCTTTTACATTAGTAGCTACTACAAGCTTTGACAGTGCACTTCAAGAGTGAAGCAATGTAAATTCTGTGACAAAGCTACTTCTATGCAATGTAGCTTTTACTATGTAAGCAGACTATTCAAGCCTTTGGGTATAAATAATCTAATCACACCAATGGAATTAAAAAAAACAAAAATGATTTATAAAAGTGTAAAGAATTTTTCTATTTAAAGATATTCTATAGATCTTCACTAGATAAAATAGTATACATTTGCTTATTTCCAATCCATGTAATCTTATTGTCACAGCAAGCATATTTGAAAAAGTCAAACTGCTTTTGACTGGATTACCAACAACACTGACACAGTTAATCCACAGAACACATGAATGATCAGCAAAAAGCGGCAAAAAATACCATACATAATTTATCCCAGATTACTAGTTCAAAGATCAGTCTATAAGCATCTACAGAGAATTTCCAAACTTAAGTTACTGTGAAAAAGACAAGTGTATACTAGAAATTAAAATACAGTTGATGACTTGATATAGGCTGTACTTAACAGATAAAGAGATGACTTAAGAGGAAGATAGTTCAATGTAAAAAGTTTACCATTTCTTCTGATTTAACTTCATTTTATTCCCATTCTTCTTGTTGACAACATTAATTTTTCCATTTTCTAACCTGACTCCATCCAACCTGCAAACCATTAATATTAGTAATTAAAAAACAGTTCAAACCATTAAGAACAACAGTTTCACAAAGTAACAGTGCTTTGGTGGGCTCATGTTATTAATATAAAAAAGGACCAAAATCATTCACCACAGAAAACTAGGAAGGGCCACTTGCTACTTAGAAGTCTCCACTTTAGACGTAAAATGTAACATCTTAGCTACCCTATTTATTACCTTAAATGAAAGCTATAGTGCTATAGTTAAGGCCAAAGTCCAACATCACAGGGTCAAAAAAGTCTAGGAGTTCATATACACCGCTACCAATCAGTTATCTGAGCAAAGACAGTGATTTAAAAGAGATGCATGTTTCAGCACAGGGCTCTTGGAACACCCTAATTCATCAAGGAGGCTTTTGAGTGGGATGGTAATGACACAGTGTAAACCCTGCTCAGCAACAACTAAATCAACATTATTGTCATCCTAAACACATCACTATACCAGTTACTAAGAAGAAAATTAACTCTATCTGAGACAAAACAAGGCAAATACACAGGGCAGATGTTTTAAATATAAACATCGAAGAAATTCTAGGACATAATAAAGGGCAACAGCACATTTCTATCACATAGAAGCCTATTAAAAAATGATGCTTCAAATACATAATCATGCTACGAAAGTCTGCTTCTGACATTATTCTTACCAAGAGCATCAGAACAAACATCCTGCTTTAAAGAGATGACACAGTGTGTGCTGTAAACTTTTATACTTATAAAGTAAAAAAAAAACCAAAAAACTAAAGTTAGATCAGCTTACATAGACACTCTGTGAAGAGCTTGCCAGATAAAAATATGTTTCATCTCACCTACCTTCCACTTAAATTACTGAGTCCAAACTTCTTTGCAGAACTTTGCAACATTTTTATGAGGTTAGCTTCTTCACCAACAGCTTTGCATTTTTTAGATTTGGTCTTCTGTTTTTCATTTATAACTTGCACTTGATTATTTCTATAAATCTCAAATGTAGACTTTCCATTAACATTTTCATTAAAACTCATTTTGCTCAGGTTAGAAATTAAGGTACCTTGGTATTCTTCTGATTTTCCTTTGTGCAGGATTTTTGGTTTATAACCATGAGTCAGAAGATCACACGTATCAGTGTATATGAACTGCAGAAGGTACGCAAACAGATCTGGATGAACTTTCTCTACTACATAAAGATCACATCCAACAGCATCTTCATCTTTACGGTAGATGTCTGTAGTGTCTAGCTGGTTGTCACTGGAAACAAACAACTTCCTGAAGAAGTCGGAGCGTACAGCCAAGATGTATTTGTGCACAGGGTAAGTTCTTGTGCCAATCTGAAAAGTCACATCATGGATGCTGTCCATTTCATCTGTTTCATCTAACAGTTTGCCAAAATCCTCTCCAAAACTTGATAATGACACACTTGGAATTTCATAGAGACTAGAACAAAATGAAAACCATCAAAAAAACTTCTCTTTATAAGCTCCATAAAAATTTACATAGCATGTTTAATGAAAAGGCTGAGGTAATTTCCTTTGGGTTTTCTTCTTACATTGCTGGACTACTGAACATTTCTTGTCCTGTTCTTTACAAGAAAAAAAAACTAATATGGTATTTAGACAATTAAACCACATACGTAAGAACTGTCTAGCTTCCAGGTATCAAATATCGTATTTAGTCTTTATAAATTATCCAGGAAATATGTAATACCAGAGCTACCATACCTTCACCTCATTTTTCCAATAAGAAAACACAGAAATGTTTGCTGATTTTTGTATTACAATCCAAAGCAGTAAGACAAAAGGAAACACAACCCAGTATTTACTTATTTATTAGATATATTGGAAATAAATCTATTAAATATATTATAAGAGCACAAGCAACATGACTCAGTATTCTACTTAATCATTTGACTTTAAACCTTTTGTCCAAAGATCCACTTTTCACTTCTATTTAAAAGTTAATTATTGATGATTACTGAAGGGGTTAATTTCTACAGTATTTAGACCTCAGAGTAAAGAAATACATTGCAAACGCTTGATAGAAGAACATCAACATCATCTATACTAATTATGCAACTATATAAACTGACATCTTTGGGAAACTTCAACACGCATTTTCAGAAACAAGTCCTATTCTCTACAAGTATGGATAACCACATTTACTCCGGCTCTCTATGACTAAAACAATGTCTTTGAAAAGCAGAATGATTTCATTGCAATCCCACACAAAAAAAGAGAAAAATTACAGTTGTGACTTTAAGTATACCTTGTTTTAGGATCTGACTGTAAAACAGCAAAATTGCAACCATTAGGATCGGTGGCAATACTAACAGCTCGGTGGACAAAAGTCAGCTTCTGCAGTCGAATTCTTTCATACACACTGTTTGTATCATGTTCACAGGACACATCACATGAAGAATTCTGAAGGCTTGACACAAGTTCTGCTAAAAAAGAAAAAAAATTTTAAAAAAATTGAAAAAACTCACAGAAAGGTCCAGCTAACTAAAATGCAATCAATATAAGTCAATGGATGGAGTCACTGAATAAAGCTAAAATTGTGCTGAAGATTGCAGCTTGCTAAACTGAAATGCAGGAAGGCATTTTAATGAAGAAAAAAAATAAAATATGAACAATCAAAAAAACAAACAAACAAAAAACCCCAAAACATGAGAAATATTATGTATAGTAGAGTTTTTCTCCAGAACTACTTGTGGAACTGTTTTGCCACTTCTTCATATAAGGGGAAAGACTCCATCTAACATTCAATGCGACCTCTTGTGAAATGAAACAAGCACTGAATCAGCGTACAGAATTGTAAAATTGTTTTCTTTTCCTATCAATTACAGCAGATATAATACACTTGCCTACAGACTTCATATTGTATCTGTTTAAATTATATCCAAACTAACAACATACTATTGAAAAAAATGCAATATTCTCCGAATACTGTTTTTTCAATAAATAAAAAACTAAAGACATGCATACCATTTGTCGCACTCACTAAAGCCTTTCAAAAGACAGCAGCTCTCATTCATTACAAATCAGTGATGAACATCAACTGACATTCAACTAGTCAGCAGGTCGAGATTCTGAAGTTTTTGTACTTTTAGTATTTTCAAGGAAAAAAGAGCAATACACATAAAGAGAGTGCCTACAAATGCATACCGGCACCAGACAAACAGAGTGAAAAGGAGATGAATTCACAGGTGCCTCTGTAATGAAGGAACTACTATGTTATGTGCAGAATAAAAGAAAGTAGCAAAAGAGTAAAACTAGTAACTCTGGATTGAGCAACAGAGGAAATATTTTTGCTGTGAAAGAATGCAAAAATTGACAGATACAACTATAGATGGAATCTTGATATAAAAGGAAGTGGAACTCCAATATAAAGCTATAAAGTTCAAATACATCCTAGGTTGGAAGTAAATCCATTTCTAACCATAGAGTGTTAAGGCCCTACATGAACAGAGCTGACAGTTTCAATTAAAATCTTGTCCTACAGTAGACCATTCTTCCTTGCAGAAAAACCATCCATCAGGACCTACTCTTGGCAATATGAGCCAAGCTAGTAAGGTAGAAATTGATCTGGACCCTGTATTATGCCCAGATAAGGGTCTGGGAAACACGATAAGGTTTCATAGACTTAGCAGTGAAAGCAAGTACATGCTCCTTTGTTCAATGCCAGTTTTTTAGGACTGGTCATGTAATATCATCATTAGAGTAGACCGCTGTGCTACTATTACTTTGCAGAAGTACCTTTCTTCCTGGAAATCTCCACCTGAAAGTTAACTGAAAGCTGCAAAGTAAGTAAATCTTAATTAAACAGAAAAGAGAACAGTAGTGGTCGATGATACTAACGATCAGCCACAGAGGAAAGAACACCACCACATAATACTGTTAAAGAATGTACAGATTTGATTAAACTTTTATATTGATCTGAAGTACTCAAAAACTATTAAGAAATCACAACTAACCTTTTTTTTCTGAGAATTTTTTCCCTTCGTCTAGCCACTTCCCTGAAAAGGCTTCACCATCCTGTGTGACAAACATTATTTCGTTCCCATTTAAAGCAACATCAGACATGAAGACCTGCCGGCCATACACCCAACGACACTGCTTCATGGAGTTGTTAGATGACTTCCAGCAAAACACCTGTAATTTTTTTATTTTCAGAGAAAGGGTAAATCTTCATATTATATAAAAGCGGTTCCACATTAGACATTACTTTTTTTTTTTTAAACACAAGAACATGCCACCTCAAAGTTGCATATAAAAGGAGACAGGCATTCATCAAAATTATAACCCAAGTGTTATGAGCACCTATTTCAAAGAACCAAGATGTAAAATACGGAAAACCTATTATGATATCAAAATCCACTTGCCCATGAAGGACATCTGAAAAGCTTCTCTTGAATAGTCAAACATCTTCATAGCAGTCATCTGTGGGATAGTTTTTACTGACATTTCAATAATGACAGCAAAAGGTGTCATCAAATCAAGAAATAAGTTTAATCTAGTTCTTAATTTACAGATTTATCCAACTGGTTTACTTATAAACTAGACAAAATTCAAAGCTAGCATACCGGAAGTTTACACTATTTCCTGTTAATTGTTTGACAAAGATCTCAAGTTTCTCTGTACCAGACAAGGTTTTGGAATGGAGATCATGACCAAACACAATCTCTGAAATATTCAACAGAAATGTGAAGAACTCCATGCACAGCAGGACTGTACTGTAGATGCTCAAAAAGCAAGTAGAAAGAAACAATCCCGCACAAGGTAAAGCCCAGACATGGTATTAGTGATGCTGAAATTGGGCTTTCATCTTCTCCCACTGAAGGGCCTGCACAGATCTATTAACACCTACAGAAGGAGGGGACAGAAGAATCTGAGTAACCTATTTACTCTCCCCTCTCTTGAGCCTCACAGAATCACTGAATGGTTGAAGCTGGAAAGGATATCTGGAGATTATCTAGTTCAATCCCCCTTCTCAAGTAGTGCCATTCAGAGCCAGTTCCCCAGGAACACATGCAGACTACTTTAGAATCTCTCCAAGGACAGAGACTCCACAACTTCCGTGGGCAACCTGTGTCAGCACTTGATCATCCTCACAGTGAAAACATGCTTTCTGATATTCAGACAGAGTCTCTTTTGTTTCATTTTGTGCCCATTGCCTCTGGTCCTGTCACTGGGCACCACTGAAAAGAGCCTGGCTTCATCTTCTTTACAGGTTCCCCTCAAGATGGAAGATCCCCCCGCCAAGCCTTCTCTTTCCGCCAGTTAAACAGTACTCTCCTAAAGAGAGTACATTCAAGCCAAACCAGGAAGCACTAATTCAGGAAACAGAAGTATTAAGATTCCACCTCTCTCCTTACTCAATACTGTGTAATGCCTAAGAGCACTAAAGATCCCAGCATTTACCAGTATTTGAAATGTAGATTGACACATTTCCCCTGATGCAGGAAGATACGGTAGTTTTTTACAGTTAAAGAAGTGTCCCAAAGACATTTAAGGGGCACTACCAATACTACAGATGCTAGAAGCTAAACCTCACATGAACAAATACTGAACTGGAAGTGTATAATATCTGAGAAAACTAATGATGCAACAAACACATCCCAAAGCATAATTCAGTCAAATGCAATAAAAAAAAAAAAAACAAACAAAAACCAAAAAAACCCTCACAACCAAAAAAAAAAAAACACCCCAAAACAAAAACCCACAAACCATAACCTCCCCCCTCAAAAAAGCCACCCACACAAAAACAAAAACCACTGCTCCCCACTTTCCCTATTTTGATATACAAGCTCATTTTTTAACGTTAAGGCAGAATTTCAGTAACAAAACCTTTCTGTACACACCACTAGATGGCCCTGAAGTTTCATATCGCTCAGCAGATCTAGAAAAGGCTGAGGTTTTGAAGGACATCACATCTACAGAGCAGCTGCTTTTCAGCAAACCCTCTAACACTTCAGAGACTATTTTGGAGCGTGTGAAGGTGACTGGGTAGGTGGGTTGAGAGGATAGACAGGGAAGGCAAAAAAAAAAAAAAAAACAACAAACCTCCCCAAAAAATCCCAAACAGACCATGTATGGTATGTAACCACTTATGTATGTAAAAGCAAAGGCATTTACACCTTCACTGAAAATCTGTTAGGTGTCTACAGATTTAAAAATACACTACTGTACACGACTTCAGTAGTCTTCCCATAGCCCTTTAAAAAACCAAAATGTATCACCAGCAGCTATACATAAATCAAATGGGTGTTTTCCATGCACGATTTTGTCCTGTCTTATGTTTAAAGTTTCATTAATCAGTATGTAGCTTGCTATATGGTTATGATTTCCAAATACACAACTTACTCTTCCAGCTTCATCCAGTGCTAGAATGCAAATCTTCTGACCTCCATTTTCTTTAAGATGCTGGGTATCTACCTTATATTCCAAATATCCCCCACTGACAAGAACTTTTTTAAGGTTCAGCTGTCTGAAAGAACACAGAAGGTTAAATTAGTATTTCTTCATTGTGCACTTACGTTGTACTTACGACAGTCACCTCTTCATTCAGAGCAGCAGAGAAGAAAAAAAAAATAGTTGAGGTAGTGACATTGAAAAATTACTGAAGTTGAGTTTCTCTCCACTGGCATTACTGAGATAACTGCTAATAAAATACTATGAGGAGATCGTAATTTTTGCTTTGCTTTTAAGTAAGCTACATCATATCCATAAGTTATTCACAAAATTCTGGAAGTGAAAACTGGGATAAGATTTATCTTCAATCTTCAGCAGTACAAAAACTATAGTTGTGTGAATTTAGTTTAGCCATTTTTATTAAAAGACCTATCCTACCTCAGGAGACCATTTCTCAGGTTTGTGGTGGGTTTCAGGTTTTTTTTTTTAGCTGATCAAAACCATGTTACCTTTTTTCAGCTTCTTATTCTTATTAAGAGCACAGTACACGGTATTAAGTTTCTCCAAGTTCCAACACCTTCACTTACAACCATGCAGAAAATGAAGTATTAAGCTACCACACATCAATAAATACTGTTGGAATGCGACGTGAAGCTGAAAAGCTAACTGGGAGTTACTGGGAAAAAATGCTAATTCTCTCTTCTAATCTGTTACTACAAACTAAGTAAGAGAGAATGGTATCAAATAATTTCATAAATGTATGAGTCATGGGCCCAGTTTTTATAACAGGTTTTATATGCAGGTTTTAGCCTATGTACCAATGATGTCACAAGGTTACACCTGCAACCTAAACTACCCTTTATAATATACTATTATCCACACAGTAATTAAGAAATTCATTCAAACTACTGATTCAAAATTGTAACAACATAACTAAACAGAACAGCAGATCTTCAATGCCTCTAAGATGCATTTACGCAAATTCAGGTTAACAGAGGAACCAAAACTACCAGTTTCAGTATTTTTAAGCCTATGGCACAAAATACTCCCTCTTAGCATGCTTTGTTGCTTGTTTAGTTTTTAAAATGTCTTTGGTAAAGCACAAATGGCAACTTAACCTCATCTAATAACAAGAATATATGAAAACAAAAAAAACAACAAAAAAACCAAAAATGACAGCTGCGGTTCATATGAAAGAACTGCAAATGAAGCAAACCCAGGGGAGCACTGTATTATCTCTACTTTCTGCACAAAAATCTTTAAAATAGTTTACAAGTATAAGACTACAGTGAAATCTTCACCTTACTGTTCTTCATGACAAATCAGAAAAGTAACACATACTTTGAAGCCATCTTTTTGCATTGGTAGTCTGCAAGTAAATAAATATCTCCTCTTTCAGTAACGCATACTGTAGCACCATCACTTGCAGAGACCAAGGACACAGAGATATCTTTATGGTGTAGAGCAGAAACCTGGCGAGGTGAAGTTACACATTTTTCTCCATTAGGATCCAGCAGATAACCTAGAAAACACAAACACACCCAAAATCATTATTTGCCATCCCACACGTTGTGCATTTAAAGGACACTTTGCTAAACTACTTTAAAGAACCTTTAAATTCTAAAAGATTTTTGAGGCAGTTAGATAATTACACAGATAAGAGACCCACTAGCCATACTTGTTAGTTCACTACAAACTCCAGAAAACATTCAAGACTTGATACACAAAAATTGAAGTAAGGCATACTCTACAGAGAAAGCAATTTAATGAGGTTAAACTCCGCAGTGGTACTGCCTTTGATTCCAAAGAAAGAACATTTATTAGATCATACTACAGCTCAACACACTCGAAATACTATCACACTGGCATAACTAAAGCTTTATTTCAGCCATTGGAAGCTCATCATAAAAATTACTGTAAGTGCACATGCATGAAAACAGGCAGTTACATGAAACAATGGACAAGGTTGGAGCTGTAATGTAATGACTCTGAAAACATATTAAGAAAAAAAAAAAAAATCAGGTCAATGCTGCTCTGTTGCATAAAGAAACCTATGCCAAAGAATCTCATACATAATATAACCCTGCCCTGTGTGCACTTACATCTGCACCACAGAGTGGATCAGAGTACCAATATCCAGGAGCAAGCAGAAGAGCTACTTCTAAAGCTGGAAGCAACCCTGTCACATGACAGTGTAGTGCTATGCCCAAACATTTTAAAGAGTCAAGTCTTATTATCACAGGTCTATCATAGTGCCCAGCTGACACGACTGTATCATGATCTAATTATTGTCTCCACACAGTACTGCACTGGGCCTTACACACAGCAGAATAAACTCAATCTCAACAACACAAAAAAAAACCAAACTTATATGAAGGGTACATATTAAAAAAAAAACAAAACAAAACAAAAAAACAACCCATAAGATATTCATTAATAAGATACTTCTCTGAAAGCTTTTTGACATACCTTTGCTATCTTAAATAGGAACACAAAAAAAAAAGTGTCTGAACCTGATGCCAGAACTGATGCAGATTAACTCTAAGTACCAGAGCTAGCTAATATTTTGTTTGCTCATAGATACAGAACTGTGAAAATGCAAATCCAAACCGATATCGCAATACCTGTTCATTAAAAAAGACAAAAGCAACTAAAATAGCCCATTCAGACAACAAATCAATAAGTTCACTAGTTGCCAATATATTTTTATTAGGTTATATCTTGACATTCAGAATAATATTGAGTTAAGCAAAGATTCTGTTAATGGCATTATTGAAAATAGATCTAGATATGGGCAAGAATTTCAGTTTAAAAATGTTAGTATGGAAAAGTTACTAGTAGCATGTTTACAGAGTGTGTTGAAAGGAGGACATAGACAGGAGAGCTGAATGTTAGTTTATAGTTTACCAAGGGCAATAGCAGCCAAATTGCTGGAAGGAGACAAGCACGCCTTGGAGTGACCTGCAACACAAGCAGCAATATCCTGTTTCCTGAAAGTCTATAGTAGCAGGACCACACAAGATACATAGACAGTGAAAGAATTATAAAGAGTTCAAATAACAGAGCTAAGCCTGACCAGCTCCCATCATCTCAAAATGTGAAAGTAACCAGCAATAATGAAAAATATTCTTGAAAAGCATGAAGAGACTGGTTTAATTAAAAGAGATGGGGGGGGAGGGGGGTGTGGGGAGAGAGAAAGAGAGAAGGAGAGGGAGAGGAGAGAAAGCTTTAAGAAGTAGATGACAGCTTTAGCATGAACAACATCTTTTAATGGCTGGGGTTTACCTTCAGAACACTTCTAACTTACCTAGCTGGCCACCATTCAGCCCCATGGTATAAACTCCTTCCTTAGTCCATAGCACTGTATGGAATCTGCCTGCAGCCACTCCAATCACCATTCTACCTTTCAGATTTTTTGCCTGAACCTAAGCACAAATCCAAAGTACATCTTAGTATTAAGCAGAAACAGGTGAATTCCACAGGTACAAATTTCTGACATTTAACTCCTTAAGTCACTAAGGATGAAGCATTGGTAACAATCCACATACAGCCTAATAAGTCAGAATTATTTCAGAAGTTTGTCAAGTGGAGTACTCAGCACTAGTGTCAAAAAGTAGTAAACTTTGTGCATTATTTAATCAGAACTATAACCAAATCTCCTTACATTGTCTTCATATGCATGATATTGAACAAGACTTGCAGAGGTCACGTACAAAACAGTCACAGACAACTCAGATGCTGCAACAGCATCAGCTAAAAAGTGTCAGCTTGTAAGTCCTAATGCCCTAAACACACTGCAGAACTGCACCCTTCAATAAAAGGTAATGTAACTCTTACTTACATAGAAAAAAAAAAAAAATTAGATTGAGCATAGAAACATAATTACGTTGTTGATGTCCATACCTTTTCTTCCCAAAACGTTACCAATCCAGAATCAACAGTGCTTCCAGCAAAGAATACAACCACCAAACGCTGAGATTCATCATCCAGTGATTCAAAAGAAGAGCATGAATCTCAAGTAATACATATCTATTACTTTTATGTCATTTCAGCTACAGAACAATTTGGGAAAGAAAAGGGTTTTGGCAATTGTACCTTGTATCAGACTGGGCACTACCAACTTCAGTACAGTTCAGGTTACAAACTAAGATGTTCAATCAGGACACAGTTATGTATTTAAGACAGAGATGGATGGTAACACAGAACCAAGATTTTATCTGAATTCAATTGGACTGTATGGTCCTGAAAAAGTTTAAAAGTTATTTCCACGATCTCTTTCTTTTACTTTCTGTTAAAAGAACCAAACAACTAAGCCTTGACTGATATTATTTTTACCTGTCTAGGAACACTGCAGTTAGAAGGAGGAGGAAGAATACCCAATTGATGGAAAGTATTTAAACCAAAAGTGTAAACATATCCATCTTCTGTTAAAACAACAGTATGATCCTTAGCTGCCGCTATCTGGGAGCACTGATGGCCAGCTAAGCCTTCCACGAGTCTTGGAATCTGAACAAGAAAAAAAAATTGATATACAGATAACTCTGGTTTCATATTAACCAGTGGTCATCTATGAAACTAAAGAAACACCAACAGAAAGTCATAACCAAATACTGAACTACAGATGAAAACACATTTGACTATACAACAAACTCAATAACATAATTACCAAATTCAATGCAGTTAAGACTTTCATTTGAAATGTATCCTTTGCTGTCAGAGAGGATGACAGCTCTGAAATTCGGCTAGAAATTATATCTTCAGGACAACTGGACAAATATTTAATATTACCTCTCTTGTTCTTTTTAAATTACCATGAGTGATTTCTCCCTTCAGAATACATGACAATCCTAAGAAACTTCCACAGAATAAGGAAGCAGTTCTGTATCTTTGACTCTTCATGCACTCTCTACTGTGAGTTCTCCTCATTCAACTGGGTAACATTCTAATATCAAACAGCAATTTGTAAAAAATTCTAATATCATAAAATTCAAATTTAAAAAATAAAAGTGTTAAGAATTGGGCTCCACTCTTCACTGTAACACCCAGCAACATAATACCAAATTTCTGGCAGAACTTGATATTGTAAATTAAAAAAAATCTTTGTGCTGCGAACTAAATGAATACTACCAGGAAGCGTGCACAGGATAAGATACTGAAGTCTAAGAACTGTATTGTCATCATATCTTAGTCTTCTTATATTTTGGTATTGCATATCGCAACACGTACTGTTCAAAATAAAACAGTAGGTGAATTTTCACTTACAGCTGTGCAAATCCAGTAATAACAGCCCTACTATGACTCTTCATATCACTACAGCTCTACAGTACTGCTGTTTCTTTTGTGCCAGCCTTGACATATCACATACCTATTTAAGAATCCAGCCCTTGTCTGGAATCAGCTACCCTTTATAACAACTCAGTCGTAATACAGAAGTGTGACCGCAGTATCTAGCTATCTTGAAATATATTTAAATGCATGTTCTTCTATTCTCTGCCACTTCACTAGTAGTACTAGAGAGGTTTTGGTTTTTTTTGTTATTTAGTGGGGAGCAAGGGGTTTTGCTTGAAATCAACAGCAAACTCATTTTGAAAGTACACTCACAAAAACTCTAGTTCACTTTTTAGATTTGCTATTTGAAATAAATGAAACATCATGCTACATGCTACGCTTCATGAGATGGCATACCAGACATGTTTGTTCATCACCATGACCCAATCGTCCTCCTTGTCCATGTCCACAAGTATAAACTTGACCTTTGTGGGAAAGGAACACGGAATGAAATTTACAGAGTACCACCTGAAAGAAAAAGAACAAAAAAAGAGGTGGGAAGGAGGCAGTAGAGGACAGATCATTTTTCCTGGGCAACCTGAAAACACCTGCTAAAACTACTTTGTGAAGAAGTCCAGCTTTAATAAAGATCTGTTTCTGAAAATACAAGTAAGATACTACTATTAAAATTTAAAAAAAAGGTACTACACATTCTCCCCACAAAAATAGAGAACCATGATTTAATTGAAGGCGATAGTGGGGGGAGCAGCAAGAATATATTACTCTAGTACTCCTCAGCTGCTTTAAGCTGCTTGCCAAATCAATGGCAAATGCTTGCTGAGAAATAAATAAGAAGAAAGGAAAAGAGATGGGAGGAGGAATAAAACACCAAAATAAACAAAAAGAACCCACAGATCCAACTTTTGTTTTTTTTAACATGAAAACTTTGAAAACTTGCTAACACCTTTGATACTTGTTGCCCCCCCCCCCCCCCATGCACCCCTCCAAGCTCACCAAGAAAGATGCCTATTTAACACATTAAGAATACCTGTTTGATATACACGCCATTCCGAGGAAAGAGGTCCACCAGTTCAGGATGATGTTTACCCTGTTGGCCACCATGACCCAAAGTAAAATTTATATTGTTTCCCCAAGTGTAGACTTCTGTGGGATCTGCAATGAAAAAACATTATCTCTGCAGCTTATAAATTTACCAGTATTGTGCAAATACTGGTGACTTTGACAAGCAGCTCCTGATGGTTTTATCTAAAATTTGATGAGCAAAGCTGGTTTTTTTTTACATAGAACTGAAATTTAAAAATATTTATTCTTATAAGAAGGTACTATGACAAAATATTTTAATAATATACAATGATCAACATTACTTATATATATTTTCCAGCAGCAGAAAATGCAAACATTCCTCAGCAGCAGATTTACTTGTTATGTTTTCTGAAGACAACTACTACTTTCTTAGGTTACACATGCTTTCCTTCAGTTTAGTAAAAAGTTTATGCTGTCATGTATGAAAGCCATAAACACCTTCAAATCACAGGTGTAGCCAAAAAATAACACTTCAGATTTTTTTTTCAATAATCTCTCAGTTAGTGATGTCTGAACACCGTTTTCTGAGTAAAAGCTCAAATCAATGTACATTTCATCGCTATTAAAAAGATTAAAGAATTTTAACATATTTCACAAGTTGAAATTAAAATACCCAAATCTTCAGTGTAACCAAATTTACTTAGACTGGAAATAAGCTGAAAAAAAAAACAAAATTTCACAGTACCATAAGACTGAACAACATAGAGAAAAGAGGAAAGAAGGAGTAGAAAAGTATAAAACAGCATGAAAATAAATAAAAACTACTGGAAAGACTAATCTCCTGTCAAGGAAAAATCTTGTGTGCTCAGAGTTATTCTTACATTTTCTGTTTGGAGAAATTATATTTAGGACTACTATAACTAATTTATACCAAGCTACCTTGTCTAAAAGCATTTTGAAGATTAAAGAACATGTTTCCTCTCTTTTCACAAAAGACACAGAAGTGATGTAAACTATCAAATGCAAAGACATGAAAGTCTCTCTGACAACTTGGATTGAGATAAAGGAGAAAAACGATAGAATGCTTTGGGTTGGAAGGGACCTTAAAGATCACATAATTCCAACCCCCCTGCCATGTGCAGGGACACCTTACACTAGACCAGGTTGCTCAAAGCCCCATCCAGCCTGGCCTTGAACACTGCCGGGGGTGGAGCACTCGTAATTTCTTTGGGCAACCTGTGCCAGTGTTTCAATACCCTCACAGTAAAGAATTTCTTCCTGATACCTAATCTAAATCTACTCTCTTCTAGTTTAAAGCTATTACCTCTTGTCCTATCATTATAATATGTAAATAACAGAATATATATGAATAATATATAAAAAACAGTATATATTAAATATATAAATATATTACAAAAATATATAAAACACAGAATAACTGAAGTTGAAAGGCACCTCTGGAGGTATCTAGTTCAACACCTCTTCTCAATTAGGGTCAGCTACAGCAGGTTGCCCAGGTCCATTTCTCTCCCGTTTTGAGTATCTCCAAGGATAGAGTCTCCACAACCAATTTAGGTTACCTATTATATCATTTGCTTTTTTTTTTAATCTCTCTCCCCCCCACACACCCTTTTTAAAAACCTTTAAGTCAGTCATCACTCCTCCATTTTTGCTACACAGGTGCCTCCTGTGTCTACTGCCAAGATTCTATACCTGCTGTCCTATATTAGGGACCTCGCATCTTCAGGTATCTCGTAACTTACACAGTCCTAATTAGAAACAGGAAACATTGTCTACACCATTACATACATTAATTGTTGAGATATATCTCTTTGTAAAACACAGTTTAGGCTATTTGATTTCCTACCAGTTTTCTTGAACACCACATGGACTGGCCTATCTTTCATCACAAGATCCAGAGCTGATAAGCCTTCTTTATCCTGAACATAGAGACTAACACCATGCTGAAAGAGAAGGAGAGGAAGAGAAGAACGTAAGTTAATTTTAACTCCACTCCTTGAATTAAGTCAGGTAAACATTTAAGAAGCTAAACATATCTTCAACTGAGGTTTAGTACTAGTAAAAGGCAATCTTCAAATTCAACTAAATGGTAAGCAAGACTGATAGAGAAAAAACAAACAAACAAAACACTCCACAGAAACAGTGCAAACCTGTTCAACCATGTATATATTGTATTATCCTATTAACTGGGATTTTAATTCTATGAATATTGACTGATTAATAAGAATTAATCAGTAAAACACAAAGGAAGATAAAGTAAAGCCATCTAGAAAGCACAAGTATTTACTGAAAATGCATTTACCGGCTTCAGACAATCCATTTTCTTATAACGGCATGTTTTTTGGCAAGTTAAGAAGTGAGAAAATAAAAATTAAAAAGAAAAAAGTATTCTTTGAAAACAAGCAAGGAACAGTGGTTCACAGCTCCTAAGCTAGAGGACAAAATGGCCAGATAAGACCAGGAACAGCAGGGAAGCTTCGGAAGTACAAAGCGCAAACAGGTCATTCCTTTAGAACTCAGAGAGAAAGATATTCTCTGTGAATACTGTTTTCTTAATATAAAAAAAAAAAAAAATGCTGTTACACCAACAATGGTTTTAAGGAAGTCAAGTGTCATCAATCACACCCCTGAAGGGAAGAACTGCAGATATCCCCAGTCAGAATCTAAGGGATGTATAGCTGTACCTACTAGCTCATACCTAATAAAAAAGGAAAACCTTACAGAATCTCATGATTAAGAGCTAAACACATGAAAAACAAAAATCAAGGAGTACAAGTCATTCAAGCATGACAGAAGGACAGCTAGCCACAGCTGCAGGAGGGATTTTAACCCATAACTTCATTTGGAAAAACACTAGCCAGAACAACAAAAACATGCATTCTCCAAATTATAAAGCCAACCCTACTAGCAACAGTGCTGGTATTAATTCACTGCATGACAGAAAGACCGACTTATTTTTATGATTTAACAGGTAGCTGGATATTCTCTTTGGCAGCTGTACAAGTCATTACAAGCAGAACAGAGGCTGCAGTGGCATCCACATGGTCTGAATTTTTAAAAACAAGCCCTAATTGCTGATTGGCAAAACTTGTAGTTAAGTACAGTCTGAGAGTAAATCATAACTGCTTCCAGCCCACAACAGAAATATGCCACCCACACTAGCTGAGTACCCTGGGGTTGATTCTGGGACCAGTACAGTTCAACATTGTCACTAATGACCTGGATGACAGAAAAGAGTGCACCCTCAGCAAGCCTGATGATGATACAAGACCAAAAGGAGTGGCTGATAAGCCAGAGGGTTGTGATGCTATTCACAGGGTCCCAGACAGGCTGGAGCAATGGGCTGAGAGGAATCTCATTATTTTGACAATGGGAAAGGCAAACACTGGCCCTGGGGAGGAACAACCCATCATACCAATACAGTTGGAGGCCAACTGGCTAGAAAGCAGTTTGGCAGAATAGCAGTTGGGACTCCTGGTGGACAACCAGTTGACCACAAGCCAGCAACGCGTCCTCACAGCTAAGAAGGGTGAAAGCATCCAGGGCCACATGTGAGTGTTGCCAGAAGGTACTCATCACACTACAGCATTACTCAGCACTGGCAAGCTGCAGCTGGAGTGCTGGGTTCAGGTCTGGACTCCCCATAACAAGACAGACATGGACATAAAGAAACAAGTACAGCAAAAGACCATGAAAGTAATGACTGAGGCATCTGACAATAACATAGTACAGGAGGGAGACTTCAGTTAAGGAACTGAGAGGCAGATCACTCTTCATGAGTGTCATTCTGCTCCTTAGAAGAATATCAGCAGAGCTATCAGAAAAATGTCATTCATTTATGCACTAAGAAAAATATACCTGGGAAAGCTGTACAGGCCTCCTGTAAGCAACTATCAAAAATACAGATACACACATTAGGGGACTGATTACTTTTTCAGACCTCACATACAGAGTTTCCAGTTTTCTAGAGAACAGAATTCTGAACAATTCCTGTACAAACACATACTTTTGTCAAGTTTAATGAAAACTTCCTCACTATGTAAGGGTACAGCACATTAAATACATACTTAACAGTTACCAGACCTTAAAAAAAAACAACAAAAACCTGAATCCACAACAATTTTGCTTAAAATCCTGTTGAAAGCAGAGAGCTTTGTTTACAAATGGCTAGTCACTGCCATGACTGTAAAAAGGCTGAACTCAAAATAGAAAATTATCTGCCTTAAAAGGTCAGCTTTTAAGTAACCCTAAACCACAAATATTTTGTTTTCTCACATGATTAAAAGGACCCTGGACATCTCAGCCATATATAAATCTTCACTTTGCTGTACTTGGGACAGGAGGAACAGAAGGAAAAGCAATCAAAAATATATATAACTTGTTAAGTAGTAGGGAAGAAACAGCAATTGCAAGAAAGGAATGAGAGGCACTAAGCAAAAGCCCTCATTAAAATATGAATGAAATGGAGATTTGCTTAATGAAATGTTTCGTATCTTAAAGTGCTTCTCACTCAAAAGTTAGATTCATTTCTAACTCCATTTAAGCTTGCGTTATTTTATGTTCTCTAAAAACACTAATTGGTATAATTACTGAAGAGTCTATTTTTATAGCATCTTTAGTCTGATCACTCTCTACTTTTCAGATCCTGACCATAATATCATCTACACAAAACAGTCTTCAAGGAAGCCCACAATTAATCAGCAATCCTTAGTCAGTACTGATTTCTCATCGGCAATGGCAGACATCTTTTACAAAGACAGAGTTAATGTTGAAGTAAATCAATACACTGTGATCTAAACACAGCAGTAAGACAACACTCAAGAGACTTCCAGTCAAGTTTAAAACCCCCCCTTTACATAAGCAATACATATCTAAAAATTGTAGATGATGGAAATTACAGCTGCAAATCACTCACCTTCAGTAACGACAAAACACAATCAATGTATCCATAAAATATACTTCTGTGCAAAGCTGTCCATCCAGACTCTTTGTCTTTCACTGAGAGATCTACTCCTTTGACCTCAGCCAACCAGTCTAGCACGCCTTTTTTGCCACAAGACGAAGCAAGATGTAGAGCGTTTCTACCAAAGGCATCCTTTAGAGTTGCAGCATTGTAGCAGTAAGAAGAGAGAAAGGCTTTGATCTGGCCTTCGCTTCCTCTGGTTACTACAGAAATAACATCCAAAGCATGCTGTAGAGATCGACATTTTGAAGTGCACTCTGGCATGAGAGAATTCATTTTCACCTACTCCTCTCCTTAAGGGGAACAGCCCTTAAGTTTATCAAGGCACTCAATTCAGTACACAACACAGTGCCTTAAAAAATTTTGTAATTCCAAGGATGCAAATCCAGTTTATTGAGCTGCCATTAGAAATATTTGTACTGCTATGTTTGGCACTTGATCCAAATAAATATTTATAAATATATATTTTTAGAAGTCTTATTTCACCATCTTATATAACAAATATTCTTGTCCATAGAAAATTCCAACTATCTCAAGTGTGCAGAGGGGGATTCCCCCTCCACACTACCTTAATTCTTCTAACACTCCATAATTGCAAGGGAGACCTGGAAGAGAGAAAAATAGCACAGATTAATTAAAAAAAAATTCCCTGCATTTTATATTATATAGTACAAATTCCCCTGTATTTGATACGTAATTTAAATGCCTATCAAACCAGAAATGTGGCAAGGGTTAACTGACCTACCCTGCACCATCTAACCTTATACTCAGGCATTCAGACAGTTTAAAAGACCATTCCCTACCCCAGGCTCCAAGGGCAGGAATCTCCTCCCTTCCTTTTACATAAATCTTCAAGCATACATGTGAACTGTATTCAAAATCATAATCAAAAAATCATCCACTAACAAATCCTTGGCTATCAATCAGAAGCTTTGTCACACGCAGAAAGAGGGAGAGCCCATCACAGTTTCCCTTAGCCACTGCAAAAAACGATTGCTCCCTGGTTTCTCTTCCCTGGTCTGAATGACTACCCATCTCCCTACCAAGTCTCTTCTATAGAATCACCACGAAGGCTCCTCTCCACCACTCTCAGAGCAATGGTGACAGGAAGGATAGCAACAGAATGAAGCAAAGCAACTTCAGTACAGGAGACATAAATTCAGGCTGTCAGCACTCGTGAAGGACTAATGTCTAAAGCTCCTCAAACAGGTGGGAAGAAGCAAAGGCTGAAGTTGGAAGGGGTAAGGGAGGAAGAAGGAGAAGGGCAGAAAAGATATAAATTCTCCTACATTAAAATACATTCACAGTTTGGAGCATACAGCATTTCTGCTTATCTGTGCATACTTACCTATAGCATATCCATCTTTCTCTAAAGAAGGCCTGACAGATGCAGTCATCTAGCCTGTTAAACGTGTGCAGTTATACTTAAAAGGGTTACAGCACGCAAAGTGCAGACATCAGTATAAAAATCACAGATAAACCCATCTAAAACAGAAAAAGTGAACTATATACATCACTGATTCACTGCCTAACTTAATGTCAACTGCTACTTGGTCCCAAAAAACATCACGCTTCAATCTTTCAAGTATAAGCTGCAAAAGCGGGTGAACTACTATTCAGTCATATGTCAACCCTCCTTGATGTTTTTGCTTGCTATGCAAACTGTAATTTAAAGTTGTTTTATCTGCGAGTAAAATATTCCAAAAGAAGCTAGACAATGCCACCATGAAAGCTGAATAAATAAAACTAAAAAATGCTACCAAAACCTTGGGAGGAGAGGGAGGACACAACAAAACAAACAAAAACCCCACCCTGCTATCTTTCCAGCTCAGTGGTTATTGTATATATGCATACTCCACTCCTTGGTCCCCACCCCTTTAAAAAAAGCCTGTCAAGCTTACCTTCCCTTGCTTTTCAGGCACTAAGGGTATAACCGCATTTTGTTAATGTCTCTACCTACAAACAACTGCCAGGGACAGATTATTTTGTTTGGAAAAGAAAACAGAAATACCAGTCCTTCTCCTATTTCACAAATTATCAAGATGACCACCAAGTTGAAAGCAATCTGTTTAGAGCAAATACTAGTAACAGAATCTAAACTTTCATGAAAAAAAAAACAACCCAGCCATTTCTAATCTAAGAGTGTTTAAACACCTCATGACACCAAGCTGTGTGGTTCGGCTGACACGCTGAAGGAAAGGAATGCCATCCAGAGGGACCTTGACACGCTTGCAAGGGGGGCTGATGCCAACCTTACGAAGTTTAACCATGACAAGTGCAAGGTCCTACACCTGGGTCAGAGCAATCCCAGGCATAGCTACAGGTTGGGCAGAGAAGAGATTCAGAGCAGCCCTGTGGGGAAGGACTTGGGGGGACTTGCTTCTCCAAGGAATCAAAGTGGGACAGACTCAAAGTATCAGCAGACTTAGATTACCAGCGCATCAAACACCTTTCTAAATAGCAATCATTTAAAAAAAAAATAAAAAAAAATATTTGGACAGCTATTGGAAAAGTGTCAGAAGGGCCATTATCCTCAAACTAATTTGTCATGTTTCAGCAATATGCCACTAGGCAATAAAATTACGCTGTGGAAGAAGTATTAATTTTACATATGCCTGATAAAGCAAATCTTAAATACAATTCACCATTAAGACATTGCTATTAGTGCTACAAAGAAAGAAAAGTAAAAACAAAAAGGGCAAAGAAAAGTTATTCAGGGGAACCATAAAATAGACTCATTTGTTAGATAAACTGGTATGAAATGGCACTGCCACCCCAGGAAGCAGCCCTGCCATGCCTCATGCTATACCTTCCCTGGTGCAGATACACACCTACTCAAGACACTGAATTGTACGAGAAAACAATTCACAAGAAAGCAAAGCCTGGTTCCAAAAAAACCTTGCGACATTCCAAAAAAGGAACAGAAAGGCCAGAGAGAAACCTCTTCAAAACACCTGAGCTCTAGTTTAAACAATAAAATACTGTGAACAACAAACTACACATTAAAAGAATAAAAAGTCTGGTACTAGACAGAAATATAACCTTGCATAACTCATACTCACTCCATTATGATGACATTTACTGCAACTATGTGAAATATGGCTCTGCTGAATTATTTATTTACAGGTCATTCTAACCCAGCCCTCTTTAATATAAAGATTACAACACTAGAAGCTATATTAGTACACTGATACATATACCTTGAGTTTCGAGACAGAAGGCTATAGATCAAGATTTTACCCCTCCATAATAAACACTGGCATGCCAGTAACACCCACTATCATGTTATTACAACATCTGAAAAAGGTTAATAATCAGATCTATTTTTTAAATACAAAGGAGGTCTTTAAATGAAACCTTGAAATTTTAATTTGTGAATTGATGCTCATGTCTGGGTGAAAACCTCTGTGCTGTCCAAATGCTTACTACTGTATGGAGTTCCAGCTGCAAATCAGCACCCAAAATAAGCACAAAGTAGGAACAGCACCAGCATTTTTCACACATTGAATTTAAATGTCCAGAATATGGCACCCATCTGAGTATCTGTTTTTATTTGCAGGTATTAGGTATTTCTGCAGGCTTCTCAGCACTAATCCTATTCATGTCATAATACCAGTGTCTTCCTAATGCTGTAATTATTAAAAGACATATATATAGCTAAATATCATCTTTTAAATATTTGTATGATACAACAGGCATCATTTGGAATTCAAGGTCTTATTAAAAACTGATTCCTAATTAACATATTCATTATAGAAAAAAGTCACCAAAAAATGAGGAATGGGAGCAGTATTCAGAGTATCCTACAGATGTTTTATTTCAGCAGCAAGCAGATTTCTGAATTTTCTCTTAAAGACATGAGCTACTTATTATACAAGTTCACAGCTCAGGAAAGTTTAAAAGACTACAACCAACTTGGAAGGAATTCCTAAATAGCAAGAAAGCGTGTGTGGTATTTTGCCTCCTGAAACTGAGTTCAGGAGTCTGAGGTCCTCAGAAAGGCAAAGCACCACTGCACCACAGCAGTCAGACATACAAGAAGGAGAGTGTCAGATGGTCATCTGACCTTACGGAGGCAGAACTCCTGAAGCTGTAAAAGCACCCCTTTACCTAATGCTACTGTCTCAAAAATCTGTTTCTTTCAAGAAGTCACTACAAATAGGCAAATATTTGGCACTTGTTTGTAAGAAGTCTAAAATCAAAGCTGCACATCCATATGACTAAGCTAACAAATACCTTAAGGACTAAGGATAATTATGTTAGTAAATTTCAGCTTCTGCAAACAGCAAAAGGCAGATGTGAAACCTCAAGATTCTGTCCAGTCACTGGGAAAAATGAACCCAGTTGGCAGATGTTTCCCACTGTGGAGTTCCAGAAATATCTGCATATCAAAGCTGCTTACATGGGGCTTCTGGTGGGTTAGTGCTTACCTATTTTGTTATCCAAGATGCTTCCCAGAATAGATAAATATATATATAATCGTTTTCTGGTAATATGAATTCTCACAAAAATTAAGCCCAGAAGATGATGAAACCAAGGCAGCTTTAGAACCTCCTACTAAGTATTTTCTTCATTAATGTCTTTCAGAAGACAAACCCAGTGAAGGCAGAGCATACTGTGCACAAATATTTGCGATGAACAGAACACTGATGCTCAGCACAGAGACATCACAAGCTACTGGGTAAAGGCAGATACTAGACTGCTCATTTCCACATCTGTGGGATCACATTCTCCCATCAACACATTCACAATTTTCTTTTTTTCTAGAATTTATTTCCACAGAGGTTGTATGCTTTTGGCTCAAAGATACAAGAGTGCTATGAGAAAAAGGGTTGATAGCAACCAACCCCTATGACAAGGTTGGCAGTTTCAATATACATTTCTGGCATTCAGACTGGGATGCACACATGATACTAGAATTCTTATCTGTGGTCTTACAAATTCTTCCTGATGAAAGCCTCTACTCACTATTGGATCTAGCAAAATCTGTTTAATACGGATGTGGATACCAGTTCCAAGGCAGCAGATAGCAGCTGCTGTTGTAGTTGTTTTCATCCTAATAGAGACAATGGTCTTGCGTCAAAGTGAAAGAAAACAAGACATTCAGCTAGTCAGAGCTCAGTGCCACTTGAAGACAGATCACTGGTTTTGCATCTTCCAAGTCCTCTGCATTAAAATAACTAATTGTCAAATTAGTGTTATGGCCTTGAAACCCAGCTCTAGGCTGCTTTACTAAGAATGCATTTATCAAGACCTTACTTGATCTTTAAATTGGCATAACCTCATTCCTTTCACTGGTTTTCTGTTGGATTTTTTTTATGTGATACTGATTTTTTGCTAAACACCAGTTGCACCTGGGATGCACTTGGTGAAAAACTGCCTAGCATTTGGCTCTCCTAAAAATGGAACTAAATAATGGTTTCTATTTTCCACATAAAAGAAGCCTAGAGTTTCCCTGGTCAATCCTAATACTCCTCCTTTAAAAAAAAAAAAAGAAAAAATAAAAACAAAAACAAAAAAAACAATAACAGGGTAAATAACATAGCTTTCCAAAAGGTGCAAAATTCATTTGCTCTTCCTTTTGATAGTAAGTTGCTAAATAGAGAGTCCATCCTTATAAGGGTAAAGTGAGATCTCAAAGACTTCCAGGGTGGAGTGGAAGGGGGGGTTGTTTTTTAAACAAGCATGCTCATAATTAATAATATTCTCCAAGTTGGTCCATTCACACGTTTCATAACATCACAAAAGACCTGTAACCATAACAGCATGAAAATCCTGAAAATATCTGTATTCAAAACAAACTTATGGAGGCAACATGCAGAGTACTTGATTAGTAAGCTAACTAAAAAAAAATAAATAAAAAAAAAATTAAAAATCTAAAACTTCTAGAAATAAAAGACATGGGAATTTGCTATCATATTGCTGTTTTCTAGGATTTTCTGTTGACTGGAGTCTTACCTCAAGGCAACTTTTACTAGTACATATTAAAGTAGTAGTTTAGAGTCTGACAAAAGTGACTAGCAAATCAAAGCTGGGTAGTAATATAATAAAAGTAGCATTGGCACTAAGCAACATATCCTCAAGGAAACGCACATGAATTCCTAGATAAATACACAGCTTTCAGCTATAAGCAGCAGAACAGTTAGACTACTGATTTCTCTTCAGAAGATCAGTTATCCACAGATAGCTTAACCTGTTAAGAAATTCCCTGCACATTTGTTTAAGTCTGGGCATAAATCTAGTCTTTTCAGCCCCTTTAACAATATTATTTGAATACACAATATATTGGGGGAGGGGGGGAGGAGAAGTGACTAAATATACAATGCAAAAAGGGTAAGAGCAAGCTATGCAGCATCTTAGAGTATTTTGACAGTCAGAAATTCCCACATAGAGTCTTTTAAATAGCTAATTCTTTTTGTTACAGAAGCACTGCAACACAAGACACAGAAAGTAAGGGTTCTGCTGTTTTCAATACACAAACACATCAGGTAGAGTGATGCCTCTAGTTGAGATACCAAGGTTTAAAAGAAGTACATTAGAAGAAAACTTTAGAAATAGAAACCAGAATTACTAGGTTTCCAAAACAACCTGTGAGTACATACTGAAAAAATTTTCTCCTTCAGCTGTGGTTTCTACAGATAACACAGTGTGTTTGAATAAGACAGCTGTTACAGAGTCTCACAGAATGATTAGGGTTAGAAAGGACCTTACAATTATCTAGTTACAACCCCCCTCCTACCATGGGCAGGGACACCTCACACTAGACCATGTCACCCAAAGCCCTGTCCAACTCTTGTCCATTTTACCCCTGACAGCGGGATAAGTAGTCATTTGTTCAACTGTCATAAGAGGTTAAGTTTGTATGCCAGGAAGAACTTTCAAATGATAAATTGAATGCTAGTGAGGCTCTCAAAATGGGCTAGACAACAAGCAACTTGTTCAAGTTTTAAGTGAATATGACCTGCCTGGAAGTAAAGCTATAGAGGAAAACCAACCTGCCTTTAAAAACTCCCAAGTTCCACATGCCTGCTATGTCCCCTGGGCCATAGCAGATACAAGCTGCTTCATTTACAGGGCCTGGGCCTCTGTGCCACCACTTGGCACAAGTACACCCCTGGCACAGGTGACCTTTAGAGGTTCTCTCCACTGTTTCTACAACTTCCGCATTCAGTGACAATGGCATAATCCTTACTGGGATGAGTCGTTCAGTGATCCAGTAACTCTAATCCATTTGCCCCTAACAGTACTAACAAGCACTGCCAATTAAAGGCAGACTCGCCTGTCAAAAAAAACACCAAAATACCACTGGTAGCTAAATTCAGCTGCAACACGTCATAGCACATTTATTAGTTAGGAATCATAATATATAAACAGTATGAAATAAACACACTGAAATACTGTACTTGGCATAACTAGAAATAGGCACAACTACTCACATTTAATAACTGTAAAAATGAAATAAAACATACAGAAAGTGGTATAGACAAAATTATAGCAAGGGTATTTCCACAATAACAATTTTTATTGAAACAGATAACGTGAGATAAGCCAAGAGCAATGAACCACAAATCTATTCTAGGATTTCACCACACTTAAACTATATCCAGTATATACATCAACTCTTAGGAAAAGCTGACTTTTCTGAATTAATTGTGAACTTCTGGTACAATATTACTAATGAATATCCACATCAGATGTTGCTGGTTGATGATTATTTTTTATAAACCACAAAGCGTGGTGAATTTCCATGAAGGCTGACAATTGCACTGACCATGTCACCAACAAAAGGTCTGGATTTCAGAGGTCTGGTGGTTGGCCCCCCAAAAGACTGCACAGAAATATCCTTTTAAGCTAACTACCAGATTTCAGCTCTCTAGTGCTTACGCTGCTGCTCAAAGACAGCAACACTGAGAGCTGCTACCAAAAGCCACAGACGAGTATCACCCACAAAGTCAGAACACGACAGGCTTGCCGAGAATCTCCAGCTAAGGAAATCTGGCAAGGGCCGCTGCCAGTGTCGACAGGGAGAAGGTCTGAAGCGTTTCAAAGAACCAGCCACAGGCCATGAGCAGGCAGGGGGGAAGGTAGCCGTTTTGACTACTACTACACATGTCCACGTAGCCGGGAAGTGACGAGGGTCAGAAGAGACTTATCAGAACAGGCGGCCAAGCCACTTTTCTTCCGCCTCGAAGCCGGTCCCCTCCCATCATCATACGTGGCCGGCTGGCTCTCCTGCCCGGGGCTCCCCCCTCTGCTACAGTACCCCACCGCCGCAGTACTGTCCCGTCCCAGCCGGCAGTGCCAACCATGATACTGACACACGCCCCCCAGCCCTGCTCCCTCTCCGGACACATCAGCAGGTCGCGGCCCGCCCCTCACCAGTCGCTAGATGAATGGACTCGGGCGGGCAGGGCGGGACGCGCGCTGAGCAGCGCGGGGGCTCATCCTCAGTGACACCGGGACAAAGGCAGGGCCAGGCTGCTGCGGCTACCGCGACACCTCAGGCGGCGGAGACGCCGACAACGGCGGCAGCGACAGCCGGCGCCAGCACCTCACAGCCGAGAGCAGGCACAGCAAACACCGCACCCTCAAAGAAGCAAACCGCCGATTGGTAGCGGCTTTGCCGCACCTCGCAAGTCCATTGGCTGAGACTACCACCTCAACTCCGCCCCTCGTGGCTGATCCCGGATTGATTGATAGGCTGGGTCTGGGGGCGAAGGGGCAGGTCTGGTGGGCGGGCCCTGTCTTGAAGGGCAGTGCCGGGATCTGCAAGGGGAGAGAGGAGGTGGCTGTCGGTGGGGTGAGGAAGTGGCTGGCTGAAGTGGGGAGAGAGTAGGTGGAGGGGAGGGGGCTGTGGTGTTTCCAGTGCCTTTGTCTGTCCGCCTTCAGGAGAGAAGCGGCGTGGCCAGCTCTGAAAGAGGGGGACGGGTTTCTGGCGAGGCCACGCCTTTCCAGCCGGACTCGAAAGCAAACGAATCATCCGCCTGCAGGTCTCTGTAAAATGATGAGAGGCAGTATCGAGAAGGTTGCGTTGAGGCAGACTGCTTTGAAATAATGTGATTTCTCTCTCTGACAAAGCAGGTGGCCCGATTGATAAGATGCGGCTTGATTTTCGTGAGGGCTTTAACGCAAACTCGGTGCAATCTCATAAGGAAACTTCACATGTGCGCAAGGATTTGAAAAAAAAAATGCTCTTGTAAAATAATTACCTATGGTGCACTTAATGTGTGTTTCAAGTAAACTCCGTGAGGGCTCAGTTCATTTCTGCTTTTTAATTAATGTCTTGGATGATGTAATAAATGCTATAGATTACAGATTAAATCTGGAAGAGAATTAGGGTGGGGTGGCTTAGGGTGGGTAGCTGGGAACCAAAAAAAGCAGTACCCAAAATAATGTACAAAGCAGTACCTAGCATAGCGCACAGAGTAAAAGAAAAAAGACACGTTATTTTTTCTAAAACACGGAAAGACATTAATGACAGAGTTAATGCCAATGGCCAGATTCTGTGTTTTTTTAAACCCACAGTTTTATCCCACATGGTGCAAGCATTAGAAGATTTTCAAATAGCCTAGCTATTTTTTAAACCACAAAACGTTTGAAGTGGAAAAAGGTTACGTGTGTTCTTCAGCAGCAAATCAATACGGATAAGATTGAGTAGAAGTTTATATAGGTGGATCTCAAGTATTTTCACCCATGCCATCAGATCCAGTTAATGTGAATTATGCAATCTGTTTTCTGTATTTTACTGTATAAATGTTCGGTTTGCCAGCAGTCATTCACCATTGTAACTAACCCTGCGTGCTATGTGAAATTTGTCTCTGCATTATTTTCCTAGTGATAACTTCTTTCTTCAGTCATAAACTTACCTCATAGGTGGCCTTGCTCCAAGTATGCTTCCAGCTGGCCTAAGAACAGTAATGACCATCTGGGGAGATAAGGAGGCCCAAATACAGCAGAAGCCAGTCATAAACAGTGCTTTGTTGTAATGCATTCAAGTGAATAGCTGGGACAGGAATCCTTTGGAGAGATAAACAGCAAGAGGCTTAAAGCAGAACAAGGCCCAGGACAACATGAATAGATTCTGTATGAGAAAAAATATTTTCTAAGAAGCTGACTGCCCTTCGGGTCTTTCATGCAAAATAATGCTATAAAGAATGGAAAACTGCAGCAAGGGCCACAGGAAAGCTGGAAAATAATACCCAGTCATGAATAGGACCTGATGGAGTACGGGTCAGTAAAAACCTTGATAGAATAACCAAAGGCTCTAGCAATGAGTTTCTATGCAAAAGTTTTGATCTCCTCTGCAGGATTTTCGCTATTTTCATGGAAAAATAGGGTACTTAATACTTCTTCTGTTGTTTATTGTTCAGGCTTTTCTAATTGTCTCCAGCACATAGGTCAGTAATAGAAACTCATGCAATCATATGCTGCCTGTTCAAAAGCAGCAAAATAATGAATATCATTCACAGAATCAGGGCAATATAGTTTGATTTGCAGAGATGAGGTGATAAGGTAGCGTAAAAAAAAAACAGCTCAAGCATGTCAACTTGAGCATCTGCTTTAAATTATTGGGTTTGTTTTGTTGTTCAGGTTTGTTGTTTGTTTTTTTACTGATGGAAAATGACATTGTTTGCGTAAAAATACACTATTTTAAGCCTTTCAGAAGAAGTTGCAAGCAATGGTGATGAGAAGCCAGTAACAAATCACTGAAGAGTCTTTTTCAATTGTGTAGTACAACAGCCAGATTTATGAGTTCCTGAAGCATACAGTATGTGCCTGACAGTTAAGAATTGCTCATATATGTTTTTTTCAGTCTGTGATGAAAAGGTTTGAATTATCACAAATAAACATGTAATTATAGGCAAAAAATGTGTCTCTGACTCAAAAAATAACTGGAAGAGAAGCACTTAAAAAGAAAACCGATATAGCATCTTCAGAATTTGAGGAGGAACATCAATTTTGAGAGTCTTAATTAGCTGGCAGAGTGTATTTTTTGACTTAGGATGCATCTCAGTTCACTGACTGTTGAAGAGTCATAGATTGACTGTGCTCCAGATGTGTGTAGCCATTTAAAGTTAGGGGAGATAAATCTAGGCTATAGAAAGGACATTACCCCATTAGGCAGCTTTCTGATGACCTATGGATCCTTTCTGTCCATCCAGAGTAGTCTGCAGAAATATTGAGGTAAAGCTCTATGCTTTGTCTGCTGCACCAGCCTTAGGCTAATGGAAGAATTAGAGGAGAAGATGCAAGCAACAGTAAGGAAAAAATGTACTTTGTACTTTATGCTATCACTGTAACAATCTCCTCATAACAGATTTCTGAAATTGATTCTGATTGTTGAAAAATTATAGTAATTACTTTTATCAGCCAGGAATCAAAAAGTTCAGTGCATATATCTAAACAAAAAAGAATTAATTTTTTCTTTTTCATGTATACTGAGTGTTGAGTGACAGATTTCCCCCCCACATTCTATTTATGTGCATTAGCTGCCCTAATTATTACCAGTGTCCTCTGGAGCCTTGAGTAATAACTTACTGGCAGTAGTACTTGCTGCTGAAGAAAAAATTAATCAGCTCAGGCTTACGTTCTGCTGATACTAAATAAGTTCCTTATGATCTTTCTCTTTTATGAACTTGAAAAAAAGATTATGAAACACTAGGAAGTTTGTATTACAGAACTAATGGAGGAAGATTCAGTGTAATGCATCTTAGCAGGGTAGGCTTGCAACAAAACAGGCTACTATTTATTTATCAGCCAACCATTCAAAGGAAACTTTTATACCAGTAAAGTAGCTCCAAATTTATTAAAAATATGTACATCTGGCTTTAAGAAAGTCTATCCTCTTACTCAGAGAGGTAGAGTTACTAAATTCCATATACCAATACTGTGTGAGAGAAGTGTGGAGAATCTTGAGGATCCAGTAGCATGAAAAGGAGGATGATGAAGTATGTGGACTCCGTGAAGTCTGCTCAATCTACTGGAGAGTTCTCCTGTGAAGGTAAAGTAGGAAATGGACATGCAGTGAATACCCAGGGGCTTTCACTCAATAAACCATGGCTGCAGCAAAGCCGGTTCTTCATGGAATCATTTAGGTTGAAAAGATGGGGAATGCTTCCATGTAGCCATGTAGTGTCACTTTGATGTCTCTTCTTTAACTCATAAAATTTCGACTTGTCTTTTTAGAACTTGGGAGGCCAAGGTTTATTTTCTGTTACTTAATAGTTCAGACACCTAAAAAGGATGGATTGTCACCAGTGATACAAGGTCATATGTGATGAGAACACATTGTCCCACATTTGTACAGAATTGCCATATTTAAAAAAAAAAAAAAAATTCAAAACCTGTGGTAAAGGGCATAATGTATATAAAAATTGTTCTGTATACCCTAGGTAGTGAAATACAATCATTTGTGGAAAAGGGTAAAAGGACAGATACTTTCAGTGACTGGAATATAATCTTCATTACAAGCAGAAACTGCAGTACATGTGAAGTCGATGTTATCTGTTGCAATGTGAAATATTTGGCAGAAGAGTACAATTCTAAACAAAGTGTTTTCCTATTCTTTGGGAAGTTTGTTGTATATGTGCAGCAAGAAAACTAATTTTTTGGCCTGTCTGTCCTGCACATCTTCCACCCTGATCTTCCTGAATAGAAGGAGCAAAGTTGCAGACTACCTCAGAGCATCGGCCTCCTATGGTGGGGAGAGGATGGATGGAAAGACATGAGAATCAAGGACATTCTCTTGGGCTCATAAGGACTTTCCAGTCCACATCTCAGACTCCATAGCCATTGCAGATAATACTGCTGGGCTTGTGGAAGTCAGACACAGGAGCGGCAAGATCATGATCAACATATTTGTGCTATATCATGCTACCCCTGAACAAGGCATCTGATCTCTCTGCACTGAGCACCTGCTGCCAGTTGGTCCTGCTGCGCTCAGTCTCGGGTGGCAGAGGGCGCCCACCTACCAGCTGCGTGCAGTGCAAAGTGCTGAGGGTCAGGATGCACTTCACAGCAGGGGGCACAATGGGACACAGCCTGTCTCTCTGAGTCTACCAGTGTGCTGTCCGCACATGGGGTCATGGCCCAGCTGAACTGACGTCTGAGGTGTCTTGCTCCAGCTTCATGATCCAGGAGCAACTGGAATCACCACTCCTGCCCATTTCTGCAGCGACTCACGACTGTTGTGGTGGTGTCAGTTCCAAAAATGGGATAGCCCTGCATTAAATAGTGTGTTGGCAAAGACAGCATGGTACATGCCATTCCCCTTTCATCACCTCCAGACAGGCCTCCTCTGGTCTTACCTTACTTCTAGGTGTTCTCTGAGTGTTTGGGAAATAAAAAAATAAAACTGAGGAGAATAAAAGCTGCACAGCTGGTAGACATCTTTGCATTTAACTTGTAGTGCCATCTACAGTCGAAAAACTTCTCACACTCAGACGACCACAACAGTGTTTGGTTAGGAACAAGGAGGCTTAGCAGAGCAGTTCTGCAGGAAGAACTCTAGCACTGCTGTTTTCTTTACATGCAGATCTTATCAAGTGCAGACTTAGGACTCAAGGTAGTTGTCTTGGGCTAATCTTAGCTATGCCAGTGGCT